AAAATATGTTAAGAGAGATGCATTCCACTGTTAGTCTCGTAGCATGTTTTGGTGACTATATCATGACTCTTGTCCAGAAAGAAAATTATAAAGTTTAATAATATAAAATTAAGACTAGGGCCAATGTGCAGTTAGCTTACCACCCATTTGTAATCTCAGCACTTTCAAGGTTGAATCACAGGGTTACTTGTTTGCTCTTAGGAGTTTGAGACTTAGTCTGTGAACATACATTAACTAATTTGACCTTCTTATTTCTACAAAATATATTTAATAAATTTTTAGCCAGGTGTGATTAAACAATATCTGTAGTTCACCGAGCTTACTCATGGAGTGTGAGTGCAGGAGGATCATTGAGTACAAAGTTCAAGGTTTGTCAGTTGGGCTATGGTATTGATATATATATTTTTTTTGTGTTATATTTAATATATAATATACTATTTGTTATAGTAATTATATAATATTTTTTTTTTTTTCTTTTTCCCCTGAACCTATCTTGTGGTCAAGAACAGATGTGATATTTTATCAGATGCTTTTTTAGAATCCATGTAGCTAATCAGACAGCTTTTTCTCCTGCTCTGTTAACATGATGAATTACATTATTGGTGCATATTAATGACATTCCTTATATGAGACTATCCTTTCATTGGGACTGTTGTGGAGTATTCTTATTTTAATATGCTCCTGAATTTTGTTTGCTAATATTTTACTTAGGATTTTATACTGATGTTCATACATAAGACCAGTCTATTGTTTTCTCAGAGTAATCTTTGTCAGGTTTAAGAAGCTTTTTTTTTTCTTTTCTTTTTTCTGTGCTCTGGAATATTTTGAGTTGCAATGTGGTTCTCTAGCCTTTAAAAATTTGGTAGAATTCTTTAATTCTGTGAAACTGCCTAAGCCTGCTGTTTTGGAGAGTGAAGTAGTAGTTTAACAAATTTCTCCATTTCCTCTCCAGTGATTGTTCTATTCAGATTTCTTTCCTTTCTGATAGCAACTTTTCTGCTCATTTATGGTTTCCCAGGAAATAATTTTACCCAGTTTTTCCAATTATTTGCATAAGGTGAAAAATATCTTTTGTATTTCTTCCCATTTCCTGTTTGGGCATCACTCACTGTGAGCTTTCCATATTATTATAAACCCTTCCTAACCACATAGCCTAATGGTGACTTAAGATTTCTCTGTGGGGTTACACATTATGGCACTGATTTTCTTGAGTTTTTCAAATATAATAATCATGTTGCCTTTTCCCCACTGCGAGCAATATTAATTATGCACTTGTGTTGGGCAACGGGGCTATTTGCAGTGTTTGGTGACTATGACAAGCATCTTTGTATAGAAAGCCTTTTCTGTATTTAGTTATTTCCTTAGGCTAGATTTTTCTGGACCAGAAGGTAAGCGTGGTTTTTAAACCAATTTACTTTCCAGAGGGTTGTTCCAATTTGCACTCGCATGAGCAGCCCGGCAAGGGTGAAGTTTTAAAAACCTAGGTCAGGTCTTGCTCCAGGGGTTCCAACTCCTTCCCGTGGCCAGCAAGACCCCCTGGCTGGTTTCTGCCCCCAACTTCACCACCCCCTGGCTGGTTTCTGCCCCCAACTTCACCTCCCATCCTCCCCTCCTCCCTGTACCTGTTGCCGATACACTGGCCTTCCCTCTGTTCTTGGATCTAATGAGTTTTTTCCAGTCTGGGCACTTTGCGCTGGGTGTACCCTTCCCACGAACCTGCCCACAATGGGCTCCTTGTCATCATTCAAATCTCTCAACCCAGATGTCATCTTCTGAGAGTGGCCTTCACTGACCACCTGGATACTGAAGCCCACGCCCACCCCACTGCCACACGCTCTCATCTGTTCCATCACTCTTATTGTCTCCAAACATTTGATGCTTCTGAAATTGCTGTACTTGTTTATTGCCAGAGTCTCCCATTAGGCTGAAACCCCATAGAAGCAGGGACCCCTGTATGTCCCCCGCATCTGGAACAGTGTCTTGCACCCATCAAACAGTTTTTATTTGGAAACCTCCCCACACCCAGGACAATAAGGCATGGCTTCCTGCCCAGGCTGAGGATCCCCTTTCAAAGCTGCAGATTTACAGGAAGCACCGGGTTTATTAACTGTAGGATTAACCAGCTGGAGCAACCGAATGGCCACCTCCAGCCCAGAGGAAGGTCAGGAGATAGGCATCTGCCTTGAGGGTACATCAGCCCCCTCCTGGCTCATTTTGCTTCACTTAACACCTCCTTATTCAGCACCCCATGCAGTCTACCCTTCAAGCAAATATTTGGCTCCTACTGTATGCCAGACACTCCACTGAGCCTCCAGGACCCAGACAAAACTGAAGCAGGTCCCTACTCTCAGAGGCTTCCCCTCTTGTAGAGGAGATGGGTGAGGGCTTGATCAAAGGTACCGCCCTGGGGGGGGGGCCCTTGGAAGGGCTGAAGGCGGAGGTGGGGCTTAGGACCCCAAAGGAGCTAGTCTGCTGGATGTGAAGGAAGGGCAGGGCCTCCAGGCCGGCGCCTGTGGCGATCCCACCTGGTGGCTCAGTCCTGGTGGGTCTTTCCCAGTTCCCATGGACAGCCCTGGCCTTGGCCCTGGCAGGACCCCGGGCACACGTGCTTCTTGCTTGGGTCCTGATCTCACCTCGCCGCTGGGCCCCTCTTCCTGCAAGTACCAGTCCCAGCCTGCCACCATGGTTACATCCCTGGGCCCAGGTGGGCTCTTCAGTCTGTCTAGCCCAATTGCTAGCCAGACCTGCCCTGCTTAGCTTCCCAGATGGGCGTTCAGGGTGCTATGGCCATAGATCACAGTCCCCCAGGGCCATGTTACCGATGAGGCTCAGAGAGAAGTGCATATGCTCTGGGACAGCCCTCCAAGGAGGGTTATAATTCCGTTTACCTGGGGAGGAAACCGAGGCCCGGTGTTGGGAAGCAACACGGTCAGGATCTGACCCAAAGCTCCGAGGAGAAAGGGACTGGGCTGAGGCGGGGACCAAGTGAGGGCACAGCACGGGGGCAGGGGTCGCCCCAGCCCCAGCCCCAGACCTGGCTGGGATCGCGCTCTGCTACCGATCCTTCAAAACTTCCAGACTGGTCACCCTGCGTGACCTGCCCCTCCCCCCACCTGCTCCAGCAAGCGGACCTGGAGGGGCCGGGGCAGTGGGCCTAGGCGCCAAGGTTGGGGGTGGGTGGGTAGCGGGGCTGTCGGGCTAAGTCAGTCCGCAGGTCGCCCTGGGTTATCCGGGGCCACCATGTCCCGCCCTGGGGTGTCGGGATTGCGACCTCAGCCTCTCCTGGCAGACGCTGGACGCAGAGGAGAGGGGAGGAGGGGCGAGGGAGAAAGAAGGAGGAGAAGGAGAGGGGAGGTGGGAAGGGGTAGGGGGTAGGGGGCGAAGGGAAGGGGAGGGGTAGAAGAGCGGAGGGGAAGGAGGGAGGAGGGGAGCAGGGAGACGGAGGGGGAAGGAGGGGAGGAGATGGGAGGAGGAGAGGAGAGGGGACGGGGAACGGGAGAGGGGAGGGGGACAGGAGAGGGAGGGGAGGGGGGAGGCGGCGGGCGGGCCGGCGGGGGCGGACGCGCGCGTGGCTGTGCTCGCCGCCCCGCCGCTGCGCCCCCCGCAGGCGCTCGCCGACGGGCCGGACCTGGGGACCGGAGGACCGCGCCGCGCGGCCGAGCCGCAGGGATCGCGGCGCGGGGGCGGCGCGGGCGGGCGGGGCGCTCCGAGGACACCAGCCCCGGCCCGGCCGAGGTAAGCGGTGGCCGCGGCGGTGGCGGTCAGGGGCGGGGACGCGCGGAGAGACGCCGGCGGGGACCTGTCGGAGCCTTTGTCTGCGGCGCGGCGGTCCCGGTTCCCCGCCGCGCCGCCGGGCGCCGAGTCCCCGCGCCCGACCCCGGTCCCAGGATCAGGGGACTCCCAACCCCGGGCGGCGTCGGGAGCCGGCCAGCCCCCGGCCCCGGCTGCGAGCGCACGACCCAGCCAGCCCCGGGCCCCGCCAGCCGCGTCTTGGCGCCATCTCCTCTCCCGGGCACACCTCGAGGGTCCCCTGCCTGAAGTTCCTCCCTGGACCCCTCTGCGCCCCATCTCGCCCCCTCCCCCAGCCAGCCCCCTCCGACTTCTTGGAAAATCTGCTGGAAGAGGCGGGGCCTCGGCCCAGGGTCACCTCGTGGCTGCCCTAGGGGTCTGTCCTTTGCCTGGGGGCGCAGGTCTGGGATCCAACTTTGCTACCGGTGGGGCCGGCCGGGCACAGGAGCACGCGGGGCCGCGAGCGGCTGGGGACCTGTGGGAACCCTGGCGGGGCAGCGCGGGGGACTGAGTAGGAACCCTGGTGGGGTAGTGCGGGTGTCACCGAGGGCCTGTCAGGCCCTGCCCAGCCTGTGTCGGTGCCTTCATCTGTCCTCTGGGGACTCCAGGAAGGGGGTGGCCGAAGGGTCTTGTACGCCACAGTGCTGCCCACAGGAGCTGGGCAGCCTAGAGCACTTGGCTGTGGAAAGGGCAGCAGGGACAAGATAATCCCGGCCTCAGCGCAGGGGACCAGGGCTGTGGAGGGTCCGGCTGTGGGCGGGCAGGCCGACTTTCTTAGTGGAATCGTTCCCCATGTCCCCTCTGGCTGCATGGAGGTGGAGCGCAGCCCCAGACCTGGGCCAGCCTGGCACCCGGGTCCGGGCACCTCCCACTGCCCAGGGACACATTCAGACCGATGTCCACCTCCAGGGTCCACCTCTGTCCCAGCTGAAGTGGGGGGAACCACAGGGTGGGGGCGGGAAGGCTCCAGTCTGAGCTGTAGGATCCCAGACTTGGCCTCTCTGGGCCTCAGTCACTCTTTCTGCAAAATGGGGGCATAAGCCTCATTTTCCAGGACTGCTGAGGGCCAGGAGCCCTCTCTGGTCCACAAGTGGTGGCTTATGCAACTATTAAGCACCTACTGTGTGCAGCCAAGGCTCCCCGCAGCAGCCACCCAGCCCCTCCCTGTTTGCGAAGTACTCTGTCACCCTCTTTTTCACCTGCTGAGTCCTCACAACAGTGAGGTGGGGAAACTAAGGCCCAAGGGGTATCTGAAGGTCAAGGAAAAGACCTATGTCTTAGAAACTGCCTCCCCCACGCCCCAGGCAGAGCCCTATAATCACTTGGGTTTTAAGCCTGTACGAATGTCCTTAAATTATAATTAAGGGACTTGGGAGAGGGGAAGATCGGAGGCTCTGGGCTGTTGGTGTTTCGTGTGACAGGTCCAGGGGGGAGAGATTGGAGGCCTGCAGCCCAGGAGACGTGGGGGCCAGCACGGCAGTGGGCTCTCCTGCTTCCTCCACCATGGGGACAGTGGCGGAGCCGGGCGCTGTGGGTGACGGCTGCCTGCCTTGCAGAATGAGCCACAGGGGACAGCGGCCCACTTCCTGGCTCCATGCCGAGCACGTCTGCCTTCCCAGGGTGGCGCAGCCTCTCTGCTGGGCAGAACCCTCGGTGGCGTCCTGGCCAGGCGTGTGGGGGCACTGGGTGTCTGGGGCTGCCTGAGGAGGGGGTCCGGGGGAGGGGGGGTTCCTGCTGAGCGCAGATCATGCCAGGCTTTCTGGGGTTCAGATGCCCTCTGGGGCTGAGCTGACCTCTGAGTGAACTGGCAGTAAGAGTGTTTGGTTGTCATAGACTGTCACCCTGCCACTGTTCCTCCTCCAGCCCTGCAGAGAAGAGGGAGGCTGGGCGGGCTGGGGCCAGAGCTTCTCCAGGCCTCCACTGACCCTCTGGCACCTCCTGCAACTCTGGAGGTCCGCCGCATGGGGTGGGGGGGGCGCTCAGGAGAGCCTTGAGCCTGGGGTGGGGGAGGTGCGCTGGGCAAAGGGCGCCTCCTCTCGGCTGGGCTGGGCTGGTCGCTGGTCGTAGGTTCCAATCACCTGGGTCGGCCCCCAGCTGGCAGAGCCAGAATTTTCCCAGCCACGCAAGACCTGGAAGTGGAGCATGCTCCAGTGCTGAGGCCCCAGTGAGACCCATGTCCCCTCCCAGGCCCCAATTGAAACTCTCAAGTGAGCTGGGGGGGGGGGGGCCTGGGGCTTCCGGCAGCTGCATGGTAACTGGTCAGTGCAGCTGCTTAAAGGCTGGGAAGGGGTAAACTGGGGCAGAGAGCTGGGGGAACGAAGCCCAGGAGATGGGACAACAGCAGGCAGATGTGGCACAGGCATGCTGGCGGGTCAGCACCAGAGAAACCAGAGCACCTCCAGGCACATGGGACTCCTTGGGGGGTGGGCTTCTCCCATGGGTTCTCTCTTGTGCTTGTGGGGCCAAGGAAACTGAGGCACCATGTTAAGTACCCAATGCTGGGATTTCCCAGTGTTTGTCTCGAATTCCTTACTGTGAGCATGTGTCCTGTCTGCAATCAGATAAATTCATAAATATTACTAGAAACTTAAATTGGTCCTTGTTTTAGGGAAAAAGCTAGACTCCCTCATGCACACAGGGTTGCCTACACAGTGGGGTGTCTTCATCCCAGACCAACTAGCTCCTTGCTTTTCTTCTGAAGGTAGGGCTGGCAGATCTGAATTGAAGCAAGAAACACTGAGGCAAGACCACAGGAAGAACTTCCTGTCCCTGAAGGTGGTTGTCCCTAGAGCTGAGGGCCAGGATGGCTCAGAGTGACCTGGGTTTGGGGCTGGGCTCTCCCACGCCCTGCCTGTGAGGCCAGGGAGGTTGGTGAGAGTAATTTGCCATGTAGCCCTCTGGCTGAAAAAGGAGCGAACATGGGCACCTCCCTCCCAGAGGGAAACGACCCGTGGGACGCCTCCAGCCCAGTGCTGGCACACATGATGTTCAATAATGTCGCTGTTGTTCCTGACTGCTCACCTAGTCCTGGCATCCCACCTCCAAAACATTCCTCCACTCCATCTACTTCTCCCGTGCCACTGCCACCATGCAGGCCACCATGATTGCTCCTGGCCTCCATCTCCCCTTCCCACCCCTTCATTGTGGCGAGGGTGAGCTTCTTAAGAGGTGACACCACTCATGTGGATACAGCCGGGGCAGCGGGGCTGGGGGTGGCCTCTCATCCCTCCCCGCCTCTTCTCCTTCCTCCAGAGCGCAGGCCGCCATGGGTTCCGTTGGGAGCCAGCGCCTCAAGGAGCCCAGCGTGGCAGGCACTCCCGACAGGACTGTGACAGTGAGCTTCAGCTTCGACGGCCACCAGCTGGACGCGGCGGCCGCAGAGGCAGCTCCAGGCCCGGACGTTAGGGCCAGGGGTGCCCCAGCTGTCATGGACTCCGGTGAGTGCAGGTGCGGGCGAGGCGCGTGTCTGCCCCAAAGCAGAGTCCGCTGGTGGAGCCCTGCGGGCGGGGGAGCCTTGGGCAGTCATGGAGCACCGGACGCAGCGTCCATCAGGATGGGGCAGATCTGCTGCGGTGACAAGCACGCCCACCACTGTGGTGCCTTCAGGCTGGTGCTGCGAGTCCCCAGCAGGTGTCCGGGGCTCCGCCCATGATCCGAGCTGAGGAGGCTCTGTCTCAACACGTGCTTCCTGCTCATGCCCTGGCCCATATAGCTCCTATCTGGAAGTGACACTTGTCACTTTGGTCACATTCGTGGACCAAAGCAAGCCATGCCTAACTGCAAAGGGGGCAGGAAGTGCCCAAAAGGGGTACTGGAGGTGAGGTTCAGAGACCTGGGTTTTGGCCCAGGTGTGTGACCTTGAGCAAGGGCCTAGGCCTCCCTGAGCCTTTCATTAAAGAAATGGTAGCTGTGTGACCTTGAGCACCAGCCTAAATGTCTTTGAGCCTCAGTTTCCCCACATTGAGGAAATGGTAGCCTTGTGACCTTGGGCTAGGGCCTAGGCCTCTCTGAGCCTCAGTTTCCCCACGCTGAGGAGTGGGGCCACCGGACTGTGAGGTCAGACCTGCAGAGCGGGCAGCATGCAGGGCCGGAGTCTGATGGGCTTGGGGTCAGCTGTGCCTCCCCTCTTTTCCCCTCTCAGAGACCTTGAGCAAGTCACTGTTCTTTTCTGGCCCTCACTCTGTCACCTGGAAGAAGGGGATGAAACTGGTGTCTAGGTGGCTGTGACAGAATCCAGAAACTGTTGCTAAGGACTATCCCGGGCATGTGGGAGGCGCCTGCGAGTGACGACTCTTCTTTGGTAGCTCTTGTTAATACCAGAGCCACTTGGGCTCAGAGGTGTGGGCGTCCTCTGCTTCCGTCCCCTCTCCCTGCAGATGGGCAGTGGGGACTCCACCGGCCAAGCCCCGTGGGGGGTTGAGATGGCCTCCCTGCTCCTGCGTGTGTGGACAGAGCCAGCTCAGCCCAGTCCCTGAGGTGTGGCAATGGACATCATGGGGCAGTGGCCCTGGCAGCCTTGGCCATAAAAGTGGATGGTGGTCATGTGGCAGTGGCAGTGGTGACTTTAATGTGATGGCTGTGGTGACAGTGGTCTTGGTGTTGGTAGCTGGCGTGGTCAGGGTCCACATGGTTGTAGCTGGTTCCGTGTCCCCTTTGCTGTCAGCAGGCACCCCACCCGGTCGTGGTCTTGGCCTGGTAGGAGGACCCCAACCTTCTCTCGTGGGGGGCATGGGCCATCAGCAGCTCTGCTTGACCTGGGCTAGAGTGTCCACAGACGTCAGTCCCCAGGCATGAAACTACCAGGAGGTGCTGTCGGGATCTCCCGTATTCCAGACGTGTTCTTTCCTGTCTGCATTGCAATCTGAGTCCCCTCATGGGCCAGCACAGCGAACGTCTTCCTTGACTCTTGATTCAGGGCTGTGAGCAGCCCAGGGTGGCCGGGTGGGATCTTAACATCCAGCTCAATGGCATCGTAGGGTCTTGGGGTTGGAGCTGAGACCCCCAGGCCAGCAGAGCCGGAAGACAGAGGCATGGGAAGCAGGTACTTGCCAGTGGTCACTACAGGCACTAGGGGGTGGCACCACTCCGTGTCCACCCCTTGATTCCTGGACACGTGTCCTGACTATGGAGAAGCAGTGTCCTACGCCGGACACCGGCTTAGAGTGTACGCAGCCTCTGGAACGCCCTGCCCGGGTCCCACGAGGTGTCACCACCAGCCCTGTAGCTGAGTCCCCGATAGCTGAGTGGCTATCCCACTGGCTGTTTCCATGGCCACGATGGCAGTGGATATGACAGCAGGGGCCGTGGTGTTTGGTGACTTTTGAGAATGGCACAATGACAGAGGCAGGGGCAGCTGTGGCCTTAGAGATGGACAGTGGCCATGCTGGTGGCAGCGGCCAGCAGCCCTGTGCGGTGGCCGTGGCCACGAGTGGGCTTGCCAGCGCCTCACCAGGTGTCTCTGGCTTCAGCAGCGGAGGAGCCGGTGCCCGACGACCGCTACCACGCCATCTACTTCGCCATGCTGCTGGCCGGCGTGGGCTTCCTGCTGCCCTACAACAGCTTTATCACCGACGTGGACCACCTGCATCACAAGTACCCAGGTGGGCCCCCCATAGCCGTGCCGGTCCCCCAGGAACCCCAAGGGGCAGGGCCCTGCTTGGGAGCCCGTTTTATTCAAATCCTGGCTCAGCTGTGAATTGCTGAGTGACTTCAGGGCAGTCACCCACCCTCTCTGTGCAGTAAGCCCCTGCTGGGAAAGCAAGGTCACACCTGGCAGGGGAGGGTGCAGAGGGTGTGGGCTCTCCCTGAGCAGCTGCTGCCGCTGGCCCTCCGCAGGGACCTCTATCGTGTTTGACATGAGCCTCACCTACATCTTGGTGGCACTGGTGGCCGTGCTTCTCAACAACGTCCTGGTGGAGAGACTGAACCTGCACACCAGGATCACTGCAGGTACGCTGGCCCCACCCTGCCATGGATGCCTCCCCCAGTGGCTCTCACCCACCCAGTTGCTCTGAGCCTCACTCTGCCCATCTGTAAAATGGATGCACTTCCTACGTATGCCGTAAGGTGTGGTGCAAGGAGAATAGAGTCTCCATGTGGCGGGGCCACCGTAGCCAACATGCTGCTCTGGAGGCTTTTGAGCACCTTATTTCATGTCCCTGGGCCCCTGCCTGAGGTCTCCCCTCTGCCCCAGCGCACTTTCTTTCCCATTCTTCTTCACGGCGACACCCACCTGCAAGGCCCAGCTTAAGGGTGCCTCCTCCGGAAAGCCTTCCGAGATGCCCCCCTTAGATCTCTGCGGCATCCTTGGCCCACCCAGTGTCAAGGGTGAAGGGCAGAGAGCTGACTGCAGGGAGAGGTGGGGGAGGAGGGGCCCCCGCCAGTCGGCTCGCCACCCCTCACGGCCTCTCCCCCCACAGGCTACCTCTTAGCCTTGGGCCCCCTCCTCTTCATCAGCATCTGTGACGTGTGGCTGCAGCTCTTCTCTCGTGACCAGGCCTACGCCATCAACCTGGCCGCCGTGGGCACCGTGGCCTTCGGCTGCACAGGTATGAACCGAGGCCGGGGCCTGGGCCTGAGACCTTGAGTGCCACCGCAGGTGGCCTGTGACGCAAGGCAAGCCGGGCTGGCTGGTGCTGAGTGTGTGTCAGACACGGACACTGAGGCAGCCCCGGTTTTCTCTGATAGAAACCAGCCTTCAAGGACTGGCCTGCCGTTGTCACCATGCCGCTGCTGCTCTTGGGCAGTGGCCTTCAAACTTTTTTTTTTTTTTGCTTTTACTTTAAAAACAATTTCAGACCTACAGGAAGCTTGCAGGAATACTAACTCCCATATATGCGCTCTCTCCCTCTGTGTACATAAATTCCCCCTAAATATGTATCAATATGAAATAATATATGTTTTTCCTTACACCATTTGAGACTTAGTTGTAGACATCATCACCTTTCTCACCTAAATACTAAAACTTCAGTGTATATTTTCTAAGAGCCAAGACATTTCTTCTATAACCCCAACACAATTGCCAAATCGGGAAATTTAACACTCACTTGATAGTATTATCTAAGCTGCGACCTGGACTCGAACTTTGCCGACTGTCTTGAAAATGTCCTTTATGACATTTTTTTTATCCCGACCCAGCATAACAAATCTCGTCCTTTAGTCTTCTTTAATTCAGGAAAGCTCCTCAGCCTGCCTGTGTGTGACACAGCAGTGACGTTTTGCAAGGGTCCAGGCCTGTTGTTTTGTAGGTTTCCACACCTTTTCGACCGTGACTTCCAGGGAGAAATACGTTTCACACCGCGGCCCTAGACACGTGTGTATGTGTATCTAGATGAAATCAAGGCTCCCTGAAACAGCACGGCCAGTCCGGGCAGTGTCCCCAGGTCTGTTCTGTTCTGTTTTGCTAAAAAACAAATTGATCAGATTTTAGTCTGGCAGACGCTGCCCCCGGGTCTACAGCGAGGCATGGATATGCCAGGCTCCAGGGTGTGAGCCAGCGCGTTTTTATTTTCCCTGGATCCCAGCTGTATTGTTTAAGATGAATCGTAACAAACTAGCCCAGAAATCTCAGAACAAGGCTTCACAGAACAAGACTTCGTTGTCACTCTTGCCACCTGTCCAGCCCACCATAGTTGGGGACGGTGGGGGTGTAGGTTCCTTGTGGTGTGTCAGAGACTGGGGCTGACAATGGCTGCCTCCCCCCTAGCACATGGCCACCTCTGTCACTTCCACTGTGGGAGGAAGGAAGGTCGAAAGTCCAGGCGGGCTTTTCAATGCCTGGTGCAGAAGTGACAGGTGTCATTTCTGCCCACGTTTCAATGGCCAGAGCTCATCAGTGACCCTGGCTGACACCAGGGGCAAGGATGTGCAGGCGGCATGGGCACCATTTGGTGGGCAGTACCTACCAGTGGGGCGTCAAATCTCTGTCACCAGTGGCGCTAATGGCTGTTTACACATCCTCCCGCAGCGAGAAACTCTCAGCTGTTGCATTTCCCCTCGTTGACAGGTGATAAGGGTGTCTCACGGTTTTTCCTCTCTCTCTCTCTTAAGTGCAGCAATCCAGCTTCTATGGGTACACGGGGATGCTGCCCAAGAGGTACACGCAGGGGGTGATGACTGGGGAGAGTGAGTATCTGCAGACCCCCAGTGTGGGGGCACTGGGCTGCCATGGGCTCCAGAAGCTTCTTCCTGGGGAACCCCGCACCATGTACCTTGAGCTGGGAGGAGCGTTCACAAGCTCTGGGCATGCTGGGCTGGGGTCAGTGACCACCATCTGTCCTTGCCTGGCTGGGGTGGGGTGGACTCCCAAACGCAAGGGACATGTGCGCACACGTGTCTGTGTGCTGTGTTTCTGGAGCACACGCCTCTCTGAGCACGTGGCTGGAGTGTTTTAGTGCCGTGAGCCTATGTCTGGTGTGCACGTGTGTGTCCGCGTGTGCGTGCGTGCGTGCGTGCTGGGGGCATCCCATCTGTGGCCATGGAGTCGGGTGCTGTACCTTTGGTACCAAGCTGTCCTTGGACTCCAGACCACTTGGGTGCCTCGCAGGCCTCTCAAATTCTCATCTCCTGAGCCCACCTCGCCACCTCTCACTTGCCTCTTCTCTCAGTAAGTGGCAGCCCCTCACTCAAGCCCAATCCTTACCCGATGCCCAGTCCTGCTCCAAGCCCTGTCACCGTCTCGGCATCCCCTGGTCCAGGCGGCTGCCCTTCTCTGCAGAGGGCCAGCACTGCCCTTAGCCAGCCCTGTGTGCTGGGCCTGTGCTTTGGTGTATGGCGGGTCAGAGTGCGGGGCTCCTGGGAGGGCGCAAGACGACTCTTGAGGGGATGGAAGGGTAAGGGGGAGAGGGAGGGAGGTGGGCGCCTGCCCAGTAAAGCAGGAGGACCTAGTGGGGAAGATGGGCAGGATTGGGTGGGCGGAGCTGGGGAGGGGTGAGGCAGGCTGGGAGTGCGGGCTGGGCGGGGTCAGGCTGGGAGGGGCCGGGCGGGGCGTGCTGTGTGGGGGGGCGGGGCAGGTCGGGCTGAGGGGATGCCTGGCGGGGCGGGTTGAGTGGGGGGGCTGGGGAGGCCAGGTTTGAGGCGGGCTGAGTGCAGGTGACCTTGGCCGCCAAACCCCGGCCCACCGTCCACCCCAGGCACGGCGGGGGTGATGATCTCGCTGAGCCGCATCCTGACCAAGCTGCTGCTGCCGGACGAGCGCGCCAGCACGCTCATCTTCTTCCTGGTGTCGGTGGGCCTGGAGCTGCTGTGCTTCCTGCTGCACCTGCTGGTGCGCCGCAGCCGCTTCGTGCTGTACTACTCCGCGCGGCCGCGCGACAGGGGCTGCCGGGCCGGCCTGGGCCGCGGCGCCGGCTACCGCGTGCACCACGACGTGGCCACCGGGGACGTCCACTTCGTAAGTGCCCGCCTCCCCCTGGACGACACCGGGCCCACCGCCTCCGTCCGGGTCGGGAGCCAGCAGGTGGCCTCTTGCTGTCCTGCTGTGCCCCCGCCCCTCCGCGTGTAGTCTCAGGCCCTGGCTTTCTTCTGTGGACTAAGGTGTTGTCCCTTTGTGGTGCCACACATGCTGTGCTTTAGGGCCCCACCCCCTGTGGTATCCCAGGCTGTGTCTGAGGCTCTGGCCAGCTGCTGTGTCCCTCCATATGGGGTATGCATGCCCCTGTACTCTGTGACACCCCACGTTATGTGGAACAAAGTTTCCGTCCTGCTGGGACAGCCGTCGTAGGGGCCGTCCTGCTGACGCAACCTGACAGTGGACCCTAGGAAGCTCACACTCTGTTCCACCCTAACCTAGAGGCAGGGCCCCCACAACTCCCCCAGGGCAGGACACTGGAGCCAGCGGGAGAGGGAGTGGCCAGAAGGCAGGCAGGCAGAGAGGGCGGGCCAGGGACTCAGTTCCAACGTCTCTTGCTCTAGTGAGGGCGAGGCCCCCCAGGCACCTCCGCTATGGGGTCCCCAGCACTGACAACCCCTGCCAGCGGGTGGCCCTGGCACCACTGGTTAGCGGCCATCTGGGGAGCAGGGGCGCCCTCTGGTGGTGGCCAGGCTGCATAGCCCCAGCGCTGAGCAAGCTGGTGTGGAGGCCTGGGGACACCTGCAGGGTGAGGTCAGCAATGCAGGCCTCGTGGAGGCAGGCAGGCAGGGGTAGCCCTTGGTTCTTGTCCCTGAAGGTCCCCAGCTCTCCTCAGCAGAGTAGAACCAGAATGTCACACAGGCATCCGTCCAGCCGGGGTCCTTGGCTGGGGACACTGGAGCCAGCTGGAAATTCTGTCCCTCATGGAGCCGCCGGCCCAGGGATGGGCCCAAGACGGAAAAGGATGGATGTGGGAGGGACACTGGGGGCCCCCTTCATGGTCAGGGAGGTTTCCCAAGGAGGGTCTTCTGGCTGACCACCCGAAGCAGGAGATACCAAGACCCACAGGAAGGGCACTGGGGGCAGAGGGAAAAGCGTGTGCTGAGGCTCAGAGGCTGGGAAGAGCCTGGTGTGTTTTGGGGACAAAGCGTTGGAGGCCTCGAAGGGCCTCTGCGGAAGGGGCTGGGGTGCTGTGCTTGGTTTGGTCAGAAGCCCATAGGGGGTCATGGCGGTGACGAGATGGAATTTGCCACCTCGGGAGAATCTGAGAGGCCTCGGTAGGGTGAGGCAGGAGGGTGTCTGGACACAGTGGTGCCAGCTGAATGCCAGTCTGAGTGTGGCTCCCTCACTGGAGCCGGATGCCCGGCCCTTCCACCCAAACCCACCCACCTCGTCCTTCCTCCAGGAGCACCAAACCCCAGCCCTGGCCACCGCGTCCCCAAAAGACAGCCCAGTGCATGAGGTGACCGGCAGCGGGGGCACCTACATGCGCTTTGACGTGCCCCGGCCGAGAGTCCAGCGCAGCTGGCCCACCTTCAGAGGTGAGGGCGAGCCCCCAGACCCCCGGGTCCCTGTCATTCCGTCCACACTCGTGGGTGGCACTCAGGCGGGAGGCAGGCGGGCCCCCCAGGCACCAACCTCTGACCCCCTCGTGCCCCCAGCCCTGCTGCTGCACCGCTACGTGGTGGCGCGGGTCATCTGGGCAGACATGCTGTCCATCGCGGTGACCTACTTCATCACGCTGTGCCTGTTCCCCGGCCTGGAGTCCGAGATCCGCCACTGCATGCTGGGCGAGTGGCTGCCCATCCTCATCATGGCCGTGTTCAACCTCTCAGACTTCGTGGGCAAGGTGGGCAGGGCTGGCACGTGGTGGGGGCTGTGGGAGGCCCTGGCCCATCCAGGGAGGGTCCCTGGGGTGGGGATGCGTGGCTCCCTGGTGGGGAGGGTGGCCCCTGCCTGGTCCCGCAGGGGAGCTGCAGTGTCAGCCGAGGCGCCTGACACCCTCCTGCCCGCCGTCGCTGGTCCTTCGCGGGATGAGCGCAGGTGCTGGCCACCTGGAGTACCCAGAGAGGGCAGGGGCACCCAGAAATGGGTCGAAGGAACCAAGAGAATCGGGACAATGTGTCATCTGCTACAAGTGCCGGGCAGGGGTGGGGGTAGGGCTTGGAGTAGGACCAGAGCTGCCGTCCTGGTGCTCTGGGCAGGCAGGGTGGGCCTTGTCTTAATGAATGAGGCTCAGAGAGGGGGAGCCATCTGCCTGAGGTCACACAGCTGAATGTCCAGGAGGGGAGTCTGTGCTTGGGGAGGGAGCAAGGCTCAGTGAGCTCGCACCCTACCTGCTGCTTCCTGGCTGCACGGGCTGACACAGGTGGCTAGAGTCTCTGGGCCTTGGGGTCCTGGTTTCTCAAATTGCGTTAAGGGCCCCCCCACCGCCAAAACCTTGCCGTGGAATGGGAGGACCAGGTGTTGCTGTAGCAAGTTGGGGGGAAACTCTGTCTTGTTTCAACAGTTTTTGCTGATTTTTAGGCTGAACGATGACAGATGTCTAGAGTTTGCCTTGTGTAATTGAATTCAGTATTTCTCTTTACAAACAAATGAAACCAAGTGGGATTTGGGGGCTAGAGCAGGAGAAGGGCAGAGCCAGGAGCGGGTGGGAGGGTGGGGTGGGGGAGGGGCGGGGCGCCCACTGGCCCGGCTCCCCACAGATCCTGGCGGCCCTGCCCGTGGCCTGGCGGGGCACCCACCTGCTGGCCTGCTCCTGCCTGCGCGTGGTCTTCATCCCCCTCTTCATCCTGTGCGTGTACCCCAGCGGCACGCCCGCCCTGCGCCACCCCGCCTGGCCCTGTGTCTTCTCCCTGCTCATGGGCGTCAGCAACGGCTACTTCGGCAGCGTGCCCATGATCCTGGCGGCCGGCAAGGTGGGCCCCAAGCAGCGGGAGCTGGCAGGTGAGGCGCCCACAGCCCATCCTCCTGGTGGGGCGGGCAGGTGCGTTTGGGTACCGGGAGTCAAGTCAGCGTCAGGGTGGTCACTTCATTCGTTCATTCATTCCATAACTACTTGGCGAGCCCCTCCTGTGTGCCAGGTACCGTCTGCGGGGCTGGGGACGTGGTGGGACCAAACAGTGCTCCTGGCGCTGTAGGGCTGACGCTCCAGAAGTGGAGACAGTTGATATGAGGAGGAGTAGCAAGCAGGTGTAATGTGTGGGGTGGAGTAAGTGCTGTGCAGAAAACAGCAATCTGGGAAGGCCTCACTGAGGAGGTGACTTTTGAACAAAGACCTGGAGGAAGTAGTGAGGGGCCAGCACATGGAGCTGCGAGGAGACAGCGTCCAAGCAGAAGCATGTGCAAAGGACCTGAGGCAGGGGTGGGAGCAGAAGTGGGATGGGGGGACAGGGAGTAGAGACCCTGTAGAGTAGAGTGGGGACGAGGAGACGAAGGGGGCGCTACAGGCCAGGCCCACGAGGATGCGGCCACAGAGCTGGTCAAGGGGCTGGATTCCAGATCTGCTTTGACAGTGGAGCCCACAGGGCTACAGGTGGGTCGGGAGTGGGGTGGGGGTGGTGGGACCAAGTTTGGTGCCCACTACTCAGGGCAGGAAGGTCAGCACTCCCACTCGCTGAGATGGGGGTGTTGGGTCAGGTTGGGGACACGTGCGTGTGTTCAGGATGCCGTGGACACCCCAGAGTGACCCCAGCAAGGAAGCCACTTGGGGCGGGACACTGGAGAGAAAGGTGGAGGTGCAGGGCTGAGCAGGTGCGGCCTGGGCGCCTGGCGGGTGACCTCAGGGAGCAGGAGCGCCCGGCCAAGGCGGGCTGGGCCCTGGAGAGGGTGTTCCTGGGAGGACAGGGGGCCAGATGTTCACCAGGGCTGTTGTGAGCTCCCAGGAGCCGGCAGGTGACCCGCTAAGACGCAGAGGCCGGAGGGCAGCGGCCCCGCACCCCCTCAGGTCCGTCTCGTCCGCAGGGAACACCATGACTGTGTCCTACATGTCAGGGCTGACGCTGGGCTCCGCCGTGGCCTACTTCACCTACAGCCTCTCCCGGGACGCCCACGGCAGCTGCCTCGTCACCTCCGCCGCCAACGGCTCGGCCCCCACCGGCCCCTGAGCCGGCCCTGCCCCCACCCGGGGGCTGAGGGCCCGACCTCGCCCCAGGCCTGAGGCACCCCCTCCCCGCCTGCAGTGCCTGGGGGCCCCAGGCCTCCTCCTGTGCCAATAGCGCCACCCTCTCTGGGTCCACTGGGCCACCACTCCGGCCCCGAGTTCTAGCAAGTTCTCTGAAGAATGGATGTGTTTCTGCAGCCCAGGGCTCGGCCCAGCAACGTGTTCTGTGTTCGGTCTCACACCTGCTGTCGCCCTCCGTCTGTGCAGCGCCCCTGCTCCAGCCAGGCCAGTGCTCTGGGGTCAGACCCATGGCCGCCCTGAGCAGGACAGCAGACCGCCAGCCAGTGACCCACCCAGGGTCTGCTTCCTGTGTCCACAGCGCTGGTCGGGGTGCAGCCTGACCCAGCCTCCACCAGGGACCCCTCCCCGTGAACCTCAGGGCCCCCAGAGGAGGGGGCAGCCCTGGCCTTATCACCTCAGGCCTTTCCCCCGCGACCCCGTTCTTAGACCCTGGATCTCTGTTAGCCATGAAGGATCGTAGCCCAGGGGCTGAATGGACTCAGATCGTGTCTGTGCCAGCCCCTAGCGTCCACAGCGCAGCGCCCGCCCAAGCAGGCCCGCCCACGTGGGGGCCTCCCCGCACACCCGCCCAAGCCCCCTGCCCCCCTCACCTGCCTGCAATACAGGAAGGAGACAGGTTTGGGGGCTGCAAAGCAGGGCCCCCACCTTGGCTGAAGTTGACCCTTGACCTAGGTCTTGACCCCTGTCCAGCAAGGCTCAAGGAGGTACCTGATGTGCCCAAGAGTCCCCAGCAAGTGGGGAGGGGTCTAGGGGGAGATCACTCCAGCCGGGACCCTGCAGAACACCAGGTTGGTGAGGTCAGGGCCCTGGGGTGGGGGATTCCAGGGGTGTCCCGCCAAAGACAGCTTTCCCTGGGGGAGGCTGGCCTGCCCTTCCACACCCTGGCCCCTGCTGTGTCCTGTCCACCGTCTGTCCACTAACTGTACCGCACTGGCCATTAAAGATGAAGGCAGAGAGCCTGCCCCACCGCTGCCTCCCGAGGAGTGCTTGTGTGGGTGGGGCTGCGACCGCCCTGTTGGAGTCCTGGGGGGACAGATGTACCCACTTGGGGGAACCTCATTCTTCCCATCTGCGAACTGGGCGGTGGTTCAGGTATGGGGGCTGCCATAGGCCTGGTGGGCCAGGGACAGGTTAGTGTGGAGGGGTCAGGGTGGGGGGAGCTGGAAGCATTTGGGGTTTATCCAGCACCTTTGTGCTCCTTTGGCCCTTGGGAGGGGAGGGTGGCTGCCTCCAGCCTGCTCAAAGCTGGGGCAGGGGCGGGGGTGTGTGTGGAAATGAACACAAAGCAGGAGGCAGCTTGGCCCCAGCCCTTGGGTTTGGGTGGATCCTAGGAGCCGAAGCCTTCTGGGCTCAAGCCCTAGCTCCGTGCTGGTTTGTGCAATTTGGGCAAATTCCAGGCTGTTCATGGCTCATTTTCCCTAAGCAGGGGGGTTGAGTGGGCCTGAGTGCTGCCTGTGCTCCAGGGCAGCTGTTGTCCCTGGGACCCAGGTGGACCGAGACAGCGCCAGGTGGTACCACAGCTGGCCACCAGGTGGCGCCAGCACACCGCTCGCCCTGCGCCTCCAGGTGTGTGTTGGGGGGCCGTGCCACCTGCGAGTTTCTCTGCAACAGGACGGTCGGACAGAGGGTGGGGAGCCTGAGCCCTGTAGCTGCCCTCTGCGTGTTGACACGTGTGATGGCCATGCCCCATTCACAACGGAAGTAGCAAAGCCCAGAGTGTCCTCTGCAGCCCATCCACACTGACCGGGACATGTGCTCAAAGGACAGCCAGACCCCCACCCCCCAACTCCCCTAGACCCCTGAGGTTCAGGTGCCAGAAATTGCAGGGATGGTGCCCCACCTCTCTCTGAGGACTCAGGGCCACCGTGACCATCAGCATCACTGTCTTCAGTGTGGGCATGGCCAGGAGCACTCAGCTGCAAGCCCTCCAGCCCCGCCCTGACCAAGAGAACTTCTGGAAATGGTAGACATGTTCTACCCTTTTGGGCATGGGATGTGTGGCTGGTGCAACTGAGAAACTTAACTTTTAATTTTCTTTCATGTAAATTAGCTCCAATTTCAATGGCTGCATATGGCCAGTGTACTCTGCCTGGCTCCCCCCTGACCACCAAACACCCCCCCAGCCCCTGAAAGAAATCACTCCAAACAATGGCATTTTTCCAATTAAATCTTTTTCTTTTCTTTTTTTTTTTTTATGAAAAAGATCACACAGAATTTGCCAACAAACAAAATTCCAAAAGAAACTTAAAAAAAAAGGAAAACAATAATTCCCCCCCCCCCCAAAACAAAACCAAAGTCTGGCTTTTCCTTCCCTCGAGATTGTCTGGACAAGGCCTCCCGTGTCCCTGGAAGGCTCGGGGGCTGGCTAAGTGCTTTCTTGGGCCCGAGCAGGACCTTGGGCTCGGGCGGGTCCTCCCTCACCCTCCCTGTCCCTCGCTCAGTCTGCTGTCTGCTGTCCCTAACTCCTCAGTCCTGGGGGCTGTACGGGACCCTTGGGCCACGGTGGATGTGCTGGGGGCTGGGGAGGCCGGTGAAGCCGGGTGCTAGACACTCACAATCTAACAGGAAATAAAAAATAATATTCTGCACGTCAGAATGTGTTCGCTTTTTTTTTATAATTTCATAGCTATGTTTTCACAGTTTTAAAAAGTTTATATTTATATATATTTATATATATTTATCTTTATATATATAATTAAAAAGTTGACTCCATTTAAAGGCTTATGATACAGGGGCAGGGCGAGTCTCTCTTGGTACAATAAAACTGTACAGGTTAAGAACTGCCACCTCCCTCCTGGGCAGGGAGGGGCCGGGCGTGGCCGGGCGAGGATTTCAGCACCATTGGGGTTTTCTGTAGTGTGAGGATCTGGGCTGGGAGGGGCCCTCGCTGGGCCCTGGGGCACGCAGCCCCTCCACCTGGCGCCTGGCGATGCTCCTAGGCTTCCCCTTTGCCGGGCTCGTTCCCCAAGTCCAGGCCATCCTGAGAGGTTGGGGCCGGCCCGGCAGGGCGCCCGGAGCAGGCAGAGTGTGGTCCTTGAGGCTGGCTGGCGTTGGGCCACTCCATCCCGCGGTGGGAGGCCTTGGGGTGGGCTCTGTGCCCACGGTGCCGGGAGCCCCAGAGTGAGCATCAGTTTGGTTCCTTGGAAGCCCCCCGCTGAACCCCCAGTCTGCTTGGGCCTGGGGGCACCTGGCCAAGTGCTTACAAGGTGCTGGACAGGAGGCCTGAGGCCAGTCCTGGCCGAGGCCACCCTGAGGGGGACGGCAGAGCCATACCCTGATAGCTGAGAGGAGCCCCTGTCGTGGGGGCGCTGAGGGGTTAGGGAAGTCGGGCTGAGACGTGTGCACATGTGTGCACACACGTGCATGCATACGGGCACACACATGTACACACTCACACTCGCCCGGGGCGTCATCACACCTGGCCCCATGCACACACCCACGGGCACACTTGCATGCACACAACGCACGTGGTCCCTGCGCCGTGGCAGTGACGGTGAGAGCCCCGTCGGCCCTCGAGTCGCAAGGGCAGCCTCGGGGCAACGGGGTCGGCAGGCTCAGCAGAGCACGGGCACGCCGTCCGTGGAGAAGATCATGCCCGTGGTGGGCTCGTAGGTGCCCGCGAGGTAGTACAGGCCCTCGCTGTCCTGGTACTTCTTGGTCTTGAGCATCTGCTCGTACTGCTCCAGGCCCACCACCAGGCACTTGTGCGACACCGTCTGCACGTCGTTCTCGTCCACGTGCGAGGACTGGTACAGGGCGCGCTGCGGGCACGAGGGCGTGTCAGGGTGGGGGGCACCTCCAAGGCCAGAGGGGCCAGAGGCTGAGAGAGACCCAGAGACCAAGGGAGACAGAGACGAAGAGAGACAAACACTGAGAAAGACCCAAAGACTGACACGGACCGAGACGCTGAGGATAAGAACAGAGACTACAAGACAGAGACTGGGAGACTGAGAGACAGAGACGCAGAGACCAGGAGAGATGGGACAGGAGCCAGGCAGCTCACAGTGGCAGAGACAGGTCAGAGGCTGAGAGTGGCCACCGTAGGCAGAGGGGACAGAGCCACCACCTCCAGCTGGCCCTGCCTAAGCCGCCTGGGAGGGGCGGCCACCCACCCATCGGCCTTACCTCCATGAAGTCCTTCCTCTGGCTGGAGACCCGCAGGGCTGCGGGGAGGCTGCGGCCGGACTTCTGGTCCCAGTGCTGTGTGGGGAGAGAAGAGGGGTTGTGGGTGACCCCAGACCCCAGGGCAAGGCCACCACTGGGCAGGCTAGGTGAGGCCCTGGGCCGCCGTTCCCCGAGACCACAGACCCAGGGCGGGCGGAGACGCAGCTCCCGGCTCACCTGGCCCTCGTGGAACTGCTTGCCAGGGCTGGTCTCCTCGGGGTGGTAGAACCACTTGACGCGGACCACCATGTTGTTGCCCCACGACTCCCACATGCTCTGGATGCGGCCGATGTAGGGCAGGTTGGGGCGGCCGGCCGAGAGGAACACGGCGCAATCCCCGATGCGGATGAGCTCCTTGCCGCGCACGATGGCCTTGTAGAAGAGCTTGCGGGCCTTGCCCTTCATGCCGCGCCGCTGCGGGGGCAAGACTCGGCGTGAGGGCGTGGGCTGGGCCCACTCCTGCTGCCTGGGACCCCGTCCCTCGGCCTCCAAAGGCCTCTAAGTCAACTGCTGTCAACCCAGGGCTTCTGCAGAAGGTAGAGGGGAAGGAGCCCCTTGTCTCGCTCTCTCGGGGAAGCCCCTCTTCCATGACTTTGACGTGCCGGGTCTCCAAGAGGGGCTTCACCTAACCCAGGGTTCTGCAGCCTGAATCCCTGTTCTAGAGCAGCCTGGGCCCCGCTGGAAGCACAGGTGTTCCTGCCGCCCTGCCTGTCGTGCACGGGGGCCTCTGCCCCTCGGCCCTGCCCACGCTCCTCGCTGGGTCCTGCCACCGCCCTGCAGAGTCAGCCACCTGCCACCTCACCTTGCCAGTAGGGACGCTGAGGCCCGGGGGCGGGCGTGTGTGTGTGTGTGAGACCATGGCCACTGTTGCTCAGGGCCAGAGCATAGAGGGGCACACACGCCCCACAGCCACATATGTGGTGGGTGCTGGGGCCGTCCCAAAGCAGAGGCTGGTTCGACACACCTGTGTCACTCCCTGCGCAGCCCCTGGGTGAGATCGCTCTGCTCACAGGGCTTCTGAGGTTAAAGGGGTTCTTGTCCCAGAAACAGATGCTAAGACGAAGACGGGATGAGACTGGAAGCATTTCCAAGAAAAGCCGGAAGGGCCGTGCGGAAGTGGGACGCAGAAGGGCAGATGTCACAGAGCCCTACTGGGGGCCAAGTGTGAGTCAGCCCCCCATGTGGCCTAACCAGTGGTAACAGGGGCGTCCCACCCGCCCTGCCCCCTGTAGGTGGGGACGAAGGGCTGTCCCTGGGAGGAATTCAAACATCAGGCACTGCCTCCAACCGAGTGCCCCAGCACCTGCAGGACCCAGCCCCAGCCAGGCCCCCTGGTGTGTTAGGGGTTTCATTTATTCACTCAACAAACACTTCCTGAGGTGCCCCAGGCAGTTCCTGAACATGGCTGGCTCTGTTGTCACCATCCTAGGGGAGACACTCCTCCAAGAACCAGGCCAAGCAAAGCTCTGCCCGCCCATGGAACCAGCACATTCTCACCTCACACTAAATTCTAAGACGTACTCTTCCCTTCTCACGTTGACTTCTCTGGAAGTCAAATGTTTCGCCTAAGCAGGGAATGAGCCCACATGCTGGTTTCCTACCTTATCCACCTGTCCCCCGCCTGCTTTTAATCTGCTGGATCCCTGGTGGTAATGGACTTTTCAATAGCCACATCACCAATTTCTTTCTTTTCTTTTCTTTTCTTTTCTTTTTTTTTTTTTTAATACCAGGTCTCACTCTGTCACCCCTGCTAGACTGCAGGGGAGTCATCACAGCTCACAGCAACCTCCAACTCCTGGGCTCAAGCAATCCTCTTGCCTCACGCTCCCGAGTAGCTGGGACTACAAGTGTGCTACCACAGCTGGCTAATTTTTTCTATTTTTAGTAGAGACGGGGTCTTGCTTTTGCTCAGGCTGGTCTCAAACTCCTGAGCTCAAGCAATCCTCTAGCCTCAGCCTCCAAAGTGCTGGGATGACAGACGCGAGCCACCGCGCCTGGCCACGTAATTTATGTGTGTTCTGTGGACTCAAGTTCTCTTTGGCTCAAGGCACAGGAGAAGTATGTCCGAGGTGGGATGGGCAGCTCAGGCTGGCCCCTCAGTGGTGACAGCCCACTACCCCCAGAGGCTCTTTCAGCCTGCAGCCAGCAAGCCAGGAGAATTTAAAGTCAGAGAATCTTGTGCCCCGCGGGGTCCTCAAATTCAAGTGAGTGCCCCAAAGGCGAGGCGGCCAGTAAGAAAACGGGAGCTGCAGCTCCAGTGGCCGCACCGCCTTGCTGCTCTGCACCCCGCCTGACAGAAGAGGGAACACCCTGCTCTAGGGAGCCCCAGTGAGGCCCAGCTGGGGGCAGGTGGAGCTGTTCTCCAACCGTGGCGTTTTCCAGCTGCCCACAGGTGGCCAAGGGCAGGCCCCAACAGGCTGTGGGCAAGGACAGAAATTCCAGAACCTGCTTAGAGTCTTCCTTGACTTCTCCGGCCCTGTGGACTCACCCCATGGAGCCGGCACAGGGCAGATATGCCAGAAGCCTCCCAAGTTTATCAGAGATTTGTTGCTAGAGACTCACCAAGCCTGTCACTGTCAACCCCAACTCTGGTGAGAATGGGGGCCTTGGAGAGGCGCAGACCCAGCAGGGCTGTCTGCTCACAGCCACCTCCCCCTGCTCTAGATGAGCACTGTGGGCAAAACTCAGGCTGCCATCCTGCAGACTTGGACTCCCTCCCATACTCGCCAAGCCAGAGCGCGGCTCTTCCTGCACACGGGTGTGGAATGGTGGACCATGGGGGCCGCTCCCGTCCTCTACATGGAAGCTTCCAGAATAGCTATTGCCAATTTCCTTCACTGAGAAGTGCATGTGTGTGCACATGTGTATGCACCTGCATGTACATGTGTGCATACTTGCCTGCAGTGCGCATACATGTGCATTCATGTGTGTATTCATGTATATGTGTGCGAGAGACCATGTGTGCTTGAGTACATGTGTACATGCATGTGGGTGGTAGACAGCCACAGTGTGGGCTAGGAAGGCTCCTTCAGGATGACCTAGCCCTGACTGGGGGTGGACATGGGACTCAGGCCTGCCAAACAGAACTTTCTTTTCTCCAGGCCGTGCCAATGGGCACATGACCCAACTCTGGCCTTCTGTTGGGACTACCATGCTGTGGGCCAAGAGCCTGGAGCATGCTGCCATGTGAAGCTAAAGGGTGGCTAGAGGCAAAGGGACTGCAACGAGAAACAGGCTGCCTGGCCAAGAAGTCTGGAAAGACCCTTTCATGTGGTCCCTGATCCCTGCAGGAGGGGTCTGTTGTTCCCTGCACATGGTCGTCATTTGGGTTCCATGTGAGGGTGGCTTTGGGTCCCAAGCCAACAGGGCAGGGCTGCTCTGCGAAGGACACAGGCTTTGGAGTCAGACCTGGTGGCCTCAGGCTCCCTAAAACTCAGTGTACCCATCTGTACAATGGGACGCCAGCCCTCCACCCCGGGGTTGCCGGGCAGTTATGAGGGGCAGGGGGGCCCAACATGGAGCAGTCAGCCCACCAAGGGAAGACGAGGCCTCTAGACCTCAGGCCCACTGGGACGCCCTGGCTACCTGGGTGGGTTTCCCGAACCATTTCCAGAGCTGCCGGGCTGGCAGGAAGGCGGCGATCTTGGGCCGGTTCTCCACGGACGGAAGGCGCTGCCGCTTGGCCAGCTCCTTGGTGGTGGGGAGGTGGACGCCCTCCCTCTTCTTGGGCCGGCTCTTGGCCCCAGCCTGAGCTTTGGGCTGCAGCGGCTGCGGGGGCTGCGGCGGGGGCGCCTGGGGCTGGGGTGCAGCCGCCTTCTTGCCCGGGGAGTGGGCCGAGGAGCGCCCCTTGCCTGCCTGCTTGGCTGCCTTGGCGGGCAGCGCCGGCGGGGTAGAGGGCCCGGCCGCAGGGGCGGGAGCGGCCTCGTCGTCCGAGCTGCAAGAAGAGTCCTCGTCTGTGGTGGAGGAGGAAGAGGAGGAGGAGGAGGAGGAGGAGGAGGAGGAAGAGGAAGAGGACGAAGAGGAAGAAGAGGAGGAGGAGGAGGAAGAGGAGGAGGAGGAGGAAGAGGAAGAGGAAGAAGAAGAGGAAGAGGAAGAGGAGGAGGATGAGGACGAGGAAGAAGAGGAAGAGGAGGAAGAGGAGGCAGGGGAGGATGCCCTGGAGCTGGAGGCGCTGCAGTTGCGGCCCCCGGCGCTGCGGCCTCCATCTCCGTTCTTGTCACCGTCCTCCTCGCCTTCCGTCTCCGACCCGCTGCTGCTGCTGCTGCTGCTGCTACTGCTGCTGCTGTTGCTGCTGCCGCTCTCCGACTCCTCTGCCCCGTCCTGCTCTGCCTGGGCCTTGTCCGGGCTCTTGGGGTTCCCAGAGTCCTCAAACGCGAGCCCTGCCGCGGGCTCCTGGGCCAGGTCCCCATCCGTGGTCTTGGGCCAGGCCGTCTTGGGCTCGCTGCCGCCTGCCGCAGGGGGATAGCCGCCCAGGCTCAGCAGGCCCTTGGGCTCCTGCCAGCCCCCGGCCCCTGGGTCCTCCCGGAGCAGCAGGGCCTCTTTGGCCTTCTTGCTTTTGGGTGACATGACCCCCTCGTGGTCCAGTTTGACGAGCAGCTCAGCCTCCTCCCCTGGCCTGCGAGGGCCCTTGGCACCTGACTCCTCGGCAGCCCGCGCCTTCTTGGGCTTGGGGCGGGTGGCGGGCATGGTGATGAGGGGGGCGGCGGGGGGCGGCGGCAGCTCCCCGAAGGGCTCGGGAGCTGGGCCGCTGGCAAAGGTGGGTGGCACGGGGCTAGGCTGTGGGGCTGCTGGGCGGGCTTTGGGGGCTTTGGCCCGCTTGTCCACAGGCTCTGGGGGGCTCTTCTTGGAACTTGGGGTGCTGCTTGGCTCCAGAGCCAAGGGGGTATTGGGGACCTCATCCGTTGGGCCCCCTTCCTCCAGGACAGCAGCTCTGTCTGGAAAAGAGCAGAAGAAAACGGATTTGAGGTGGGCAGGGGCTGCTGCCGGCCTGGTGGGAGACCTGCCGCAGCTCAGTCGGAAAGGCTGGGCTCAGTCCCGGCCCTGCCAAGTCCCACGTGGGGACTGGGCCCAGTGCCCTTTCCTGGCTTCATCGGGGGACCTCTGCAACAACTGTCTACATTGTGCTGCCCCACTGGGTCCTTGGAAACTTCAACTTTCAGCACGAAGCCCTTTTCTCTGGATTCCGGAGGGAAACGCGCCCAGGTTGAATCTCAGCCCAGCCTACCTCTGCCTGTGTCCTACTGTGTCAACTGGTCAGAACGCCCTGCAGGGCAGAGTCCCTACAGAGATGGGGCGTGGCTACCTGTGTGGGTCCCTGTCCCCCCCATACGTGGACGCCTGGAGGAGCCTCGCCCCCCACCCCTGCCTCGAGCCTGGTCAGGCAGGGCCGGGGCCAACCTACCGCCCTTGGCCTTGGTGCCGGGTTTCCGCCCGCGCCCTCGCGCCTTGGCTCCCGGTTCCTCCGTCCCTGTCGTGCCCCCATCTTTGCCTTCCCCAGTGTCTTTGCTGGTCTTCCGGCTGCGGCGCTTGGCGCTGGGCACCAGGAGGGCCGGGGACGGCTCAGCACCTGCGGGGCACAGCGCACAGCGAGCGGCTCAGGCCTGGGTTTCCGCAGACCACGCTGCTCAGCAGACGCCCCCGCCCCCTAAGAGTGAACCAAAGCGCTTCGTGGACTCAGAGGGGCTGAACGTAGATGCTGACTTTTGTCATTTTTATGACCCACTTAGGAAATGTTCACAACCTCTGATGTTAACAACGCCGAGAACTCAGCAGTGCTAGGTCCACGACCTGCCTCTGCCCGTCACTATGGTGGGCCCTGGGTAAGTCATGAACCACTTGGAAGTCCAGCTTTGCCCCTGGCCAAAGGGGCACTGAGGCAAGAAGTCCACACTGCTGAGGCCACTCGGAGCCTGGAACTTTCCGTCACCATCCTCGATCAGCCCCATGGGCCACAGAACCTGGGAGTCCTGAGACCCCCCCCCATCCCAGCCCTGTTCCGGGTGCCCCACCCACAGTTTCTGCCATTTCTGTCTCCTGTGGTTCACGTGGCAGACAGAGCCCAGGGCTGAGCTCAGGGGGTGAGGGCCTGGGTGGATGGCAGGAACCCCGGGTGTCACGGGCCTGTCACTCACACTGGATCTTATAGTCAGGAGGCAGGAGGCGGATGTGCGAGAGGGGGATCCTCCCTGTGTCCCCGTCGTCAAATTCCACGGTGATCAGGTCCCCATCATCCTCCAGGTCCAGTAACCCTGTCGGAGGAGGGGCTGGTTGGGGCAGGCCCTCAGGCCACCAGCTCCCTGGTGAGGTGCTGGGGGTGGGAGGGACGGCAGAAACCAGCCCATAAACAGCCCTAGTCTCTAAGACACGGCAGTGGGGCGTCGGTGGTGGGTATACAGTGGTGCAGAATGTGAGCTTTGGAGCCAAGCAGTCCAGACGGGAGTACTGGCTCTCCCACTTCCAGCTGACTTTGGGTGACCGACGGGATCACACACGCCTGTCCCCGCTCACGCCCAAGACGCTCCCGGAAACGATAGAGGAAGAGCACTGGCCCTAAAGGACGCAGGACAAGTGGGAGGCGGGAGGGCTGGGGTAGGGGAGACGTCAGGACATTAGCATGGACACACAGGAGCTGACTTTGGTCTCCTGGAAAGAGGTGATGCCAACAAGAAGGAAGCGGTTCTCCCAAGAGAACCCTGCCGAGACTTGGCCTGAGAGGCACCAGGCACCTCTGGGGACAGGAGTACAGGGGCCCTGACACTCAACAGGCTGAGGGTCGCACGGCCAGCAGGGGCTGGGAGGTTTGCCCCTAGAGAGAGGCTCTGGACTGAAAGACGTTGGGCACAGGTGGCAGGGGGCAGGTGGCCCCACACCAAAACCAGGGCTTAACGGGCAACTACACACACTGAAGGGTGACACCCCAGCCCCCTTCCCAAATGCCAGGTGCTAGGCCTCTGTCTCCAGGGACATGAGGGATCTGACCAGCTAAAGAGAAAAGACTTCCACGTGCAGGTATTTGGGGGCCCCCCAACAAAGCACCCCTGCCCACCCGTGGTGACAAGGGCTCGCTCATGCACAGAGCTTCCAATCGGCTCCGTGACATCTCTTCACTAAGGGTCCCCAAGGCCGTGAGTGATCTCTGTTGAAAGGAAGAGCCCAGAGCTAACAAACAGAAGGCACAGGGCTCCCAGAAGACACAGAGACCCCATGAAATCTAACATGGAAAAAAATTATCTGAGAAATTTTTTAAAAGATAATATGTTAATGAAACAGTTTTTTAAAAAGGAATATTCAGAGAATAAAAAGAAATCAAGAAATTTTTAAACGATAGCAGAAACTTTTAAAATTCAAGAGAACAGAAGGAGTTAGAAGATAAAGTGGAAGAAATCTCAGAAAGTTGAACAAAATAAGGAAAGAGACAATAATAGAAATAAAGATTCAAACATGTGGGGCCACCAGACCAGGATGAGTTCCAGGAAAAACAGATGAAATGCACGAGGGACGTCATCCGTGCAGTACACAATACAAGCAAAGCTTCCAGGACTGAAGGACGCTGCTTCGAAATCCAAGGCTCCCTTCCCAGATACCAGCATGATGAACACACACACACACACACGGAATTCCAGATCTAGGGATAATGAGAAGATCATAAAAGTTTCCAGAGGAGAAAAAAACACATCTCCTAGAAAGATCTGGGAATCAACGTGGCATTGAACTTCTCAAACGACACTGGAGGCTAGATAAAAATGGAACGATGACCTTGAAACAGCAAGAGGACATTATTTCCAATCTAGGATTTATACCCAGCTCAACTATCTATAAGGAATGTGGGTAGAATAAAGAGATCACAGACATGTGAGGGCTGGAGAAATTCACCTCCCACGGCCCCTCCTCAGGAAGTTACTGAAAGATCCTCTGCTAAAACAAGGGAATGAACATGAACCAAGAAAGAAAAAGACATGAGATGCAACATGGGGGGAGGCAGAGGGGTTCTCAGAACAATGGCAGGCAGAGTCCCCAAGAATCCAAGAATGACACTGTGAGGCAAGCGTAGCTGCTAACCCTCATAGTACAAGGGGACAGAAAGCTCTCAGAAATCTGAATCCAAGACAGATTTTTAGCATATTAACGGGACTTTTCAGAGTTTCAATGATAAACTGACTACAAAATTAAAATAATAAATCCTCCCAGCCCAAGCTCTTGTGGCTCAGACTGCATCAGACATCCACTGTTTTGCTGGCCCAGCAACTCTGTCCATCTTCTGGGTAGGTCTGTGTGGTAGCCATGGGGTGGACTGTATTTGGCACGTGCGTGTTTTTTGTTTATTTTATTTTATTTTTTAGTCTAGCCAACATCCCTACCCTCATCTCCCTGACGTGTTGGTTTTGCAGTAGCTGAGGTGTGGATCGTTTGAGTATCAGCTTTTTTTGTCTGACATCCACACCTATCCTACCTGTTATTTTGTCTGCCCACATTCCATTCTCTTACTCCACAAACAACATCCCAACTTTCCTGGGGAAGCCACCATCCCCAGCCCTTTCCCTCCACATGGAAAAGGACGCTGACCTCACTCCTCGGCGTGAGGGATGAGAATGTGACCCCAGCCTGGTGGACCAGACTTACAGGTGGCAGCTCAAGGAAAACCAGGCGGCCCAAGGCAGGTTACCCTAACGCTTGTGTGGTAAAACTGGGTTGCGGGACATTCTCCAATGATGAGACTTATTAAGATGGTAAAGCACAGTCCCCGAGGCACTGGCGTGACACTAGCACAGATGACAGCACTGCTGGCGGAAACCGTGGGTCCGTGTCCAGAAGACACTGTCTGCATGGCACCTGGATCCAACCACACCTGAGGACCCTACAGTTCTGTCATGTGAGCCCATATGTCTCTATGTTGAAGCCAGTTAGAGTTCCATGTTGACACGTCTGGGGACAGGGCCTGCGGGGAGGGCACGTCTCACCTCGGACCACGGTGCCCGGGTAGAGACAACGGTACTGCTGGCTCCAGTAGGCTGCGATCCTGGTCCCTTGTGGCAGGAAGCGAGTAGAGGCCGGCCTCACGTCGATGATCTGGGACAGTGTGGGATTTAGTGCTGGGCACACAGCTGTGGCCGCAGCCCTTGACACCCCACCCCGCAGCCTCCAGCGCCCCACCCCTCGTCTCACCGCCTCCTGCAGCAGCTGCTCCAGACAGTAGATGTGGGGCCGGTTGCCGCGCTCGCCCTCCACCACCACACGGTATCTACGAGGCCAGGCGAACATGCTGTGCAGGGCAGAGGCTGGAGACCTCCCCGGAGGGACCCCAGCCCCACCACTGCCGGCTCTGCCTCCCAGGGCACTGGGACGCGGCACCAGGACTCGAAGGTTCACTGACTTTGCTAAGTGAACGTGGCCGCATTCTCTCCCCCACTTCTGGGCTCAGTTTCCTCATTTGTGCAAGCAGGGGTTGCAGAGCACGCCCTGCCGGTCCAGGCCAGATCCCAGGAGAGGCCAACACGCTCTCTCTCGGCCCACCCCAGGCAGGGCCTCAGGGTGCACAGGCCTGCCCATCCGATCTGAGCCAGCTATAGCACAGGAAGCCACAGCCGGGGGGGGCAGGGGGAGCTCAGAAGCGGCTCTGCACAGGCCAGCGCCCGACTCACATGTCTGGCGAGTGCACCGTGTGCACATGCCCCGCGTACAGCAGCTTGTCGTCCATGGGGATGAGCACCCGCAGGCCGTCCTTCAGCTCATCCTTGTCAATGATGCATGAGCGAGGGGCTGCAGGAGGGTGGGTGTGAGGCAGCGCCGGGCAGGTGGGGGGCCCTCGGTGGGCTGGTGCTACTTGGGACGTGTACACCCATGCCTGCCCTAGCGCGCCCATGGAAGTGTGCATGGCCCCTCTGCCCGACCCCTCTGCCTCCCAATCGCAACCCTGTGTGCCAGCACACGAAGTTCTAGGGCATTGGCACACCCCATCCACCCCTACCTGGGTCACTACCCCCCCACCGTGACACCCAGCACCGCTACCATGGCCCAGCCAAGCCTCAGGGATGTTCCACATGCTTTTTCTCTTTCTAGTGGAAACCAATCCCGGGATGGGCTATCGGCACCCACTTTCACCCGGCGGCCCCTCCCTCCCTTGAGCCCCCACTCGTTCTTCATCTGCTCCTTCTCGATGGGGACTTCAACCCAGCCCTCCCCATCTGAACCACTATTAAAAGACCCGGACAGCTCGACAGATGGAATGCCAGGCCCACCACGTGCCCACTGCGCCCATGCAGGGCCTCGTGGCAGAGTCGGCCTCCCATGCCCTGGCGCTGGGCTTGGCTGTGTGGCTCTCCAGGGCAGAAGGGGCCACAGGCGGGTCTGGGCAGTGGCCTTTAGAGGTCCCTGGGTCCCACCTCTCCTCAAGAGCCTCTGGCAGCATCGCCAGAGACCACAGGCCCAACACACAGATGGCACGTGGAGAGGGGACAGCGGACCTGGGTAAGCCAAGCCCAGCTGGGGTCAGCACAGCCACCCAGCAGCCCTGGGACCTGCGGCACACACGCTACCGACCACCAGCTGACTGACACACCCCAGGCTGCACCCCTCCTCTTGCTCACCTACCCACGCACATCACACCCCTGGGTCCAAGTGCCTCCTGCACGTGGCCGCCCGGACGTCCTCTAGCACCCCAAATTCCAACCAGCAAAGCCCAGCATGTGACCCCATGACTCTGGTCTCAGGGACAGCTCCCCACGCCCCTCTAGTCTTCACCCTTCCCCTCCCCCACCTGCCCACACAGTCCCCCACATCCCACCCACCCACTCTCCTTCCCAATGCACTTGTCTCTCCCCGCTGCCCTCAGGAAGCTCCCACCTGGATGCTGACAGCCTCCTAACTAGACTCCCAGCCACGCCTGGGGCCTTCAGTTCACTCTCTATGCAGCAGTCAGACACCTCATCTTAAAACCAACCTGACCACATCACTCCCTCACTTACGACCTTGGAGAGCTTTTTATTTTCCTTAGAGTGAACACCCAGCTCCTTACCTAGGCCCACAAGACTCTGCCCCTGCCTCCTCCCTGGCCCCAAGGCTGCTCTCTTGCCACCCCCACACCCAGCTCTTTAAGCTAGAGTCAAACCGGCCTCCTTTCTGCAGACCTCAGGGCCTTTGCACATTCTGTTCCCTACTCACACCCCTCTACTAGCTCAGCCCCTCCCTTCTCAGGCCAGGCTTAGAGCTACCTTCCCTGGGGGACTCCTGCAGCCCCTCCCCACACACAGCACGGCCACTCACCTGGAGTCAGCGGCCGCTCCACGACCCCGCCATGGGGCAGGTGTTCGTCCTCAGAGAAGCTGGAGTCCTGGTTGGGCTCAAAGTCCTCCTCAGCCGCCATGCTCTCCATCAACTTGCTCACGGCGCCCCCCTTCCCCCGGTTCTGGGGACAGAGCATGGCAGAAAGGTGGCTTAGGACATGGCACAGGGGTCCTGCCTGGCTGGGGACCATCCCTGGAAACCCAGAGCCACAGTCAGGCCCCAGGGTGTCTGCCATGTGCACAGGAGGGGCACCAGCTGGGTGCACCCCAGAGGCCAGAGAACCTCGAACCTGGGCCTAGAACCTGGCTGGCCAGGGCCTGCATGTACTCAACGCAGTACTCAGTACCGGACTTATGTCTGTCACCATGACAGATGGCTCGATTCCCTGCTTAGAGAAACTGAGGCAGCAATTCCAGCTAGGCACCATAGGTTGGAGGCAAAACAGCTTGCGCAGGGGCTAGCAGGCGTGGGGAACAGGCACGCCCAGGCATAGCCCCACCTGCCAACTGAGCAAAGAAATTCGCCCATGCTCAGACGGAGGGGGGACCCCATGGGGAGCTGGAGCTAAGCTGGGGGCTCCTGTCACCCGGCCCGACAGGTCTCACAGTCACCCATCAGGTGTTCCCCACCCCTGCTAAGGCGTCTCCCTCCTGAGAATAGGGGCCAAATCCCAGGTGTCTCATTCTCCTCAGGACATGGGGACTGCAGCCACGTCACCTCGCCTCCCTGAGCCTCGGCTGCAGGGAGGGTGAACACAGGGTGGCAGGCAGAGACCTCCCTCCGGCCTCAGAAGCACAGAGAGGGCATGATGGACTCGGGGCGCGGCATCCCTGCCTGGGTGCGAGCCTCACCTCCTTCTTCACCTCTTTCCCTTTGGCCTTGGCCTTGTTCCTCTTGGCAGCGGCCAGGGAGCTGGCGTGAGGGGCCCTGGCCTCGGCGGGCAGGGCGGGAGTGCGGGGTGCGGGCAGCGCTGCTCCTGGACTGGCCTCCTTCCCTTTCTTCTTCTAGAGGAGGAAGCAGCAGAGGGAGCTCTCAGGGGCCGGCAAGGGGCCGGCCTCCCAAGCAGAGGTAGGGGGAGGCAGGACCCCCCAGCCAGCCTGCCGCCCCCCACTTGCTCACCCCCCCAAGTTCTGTGTGAGCCTCCCCAGAGGAATGGAACACCCCTCCTCTCCAGGAAGGTGTTTTTGTTTTGAATCTTAATTTCTTTGTTACTACTATGTATTACTTGTTACCCCTCAAAAAAGAAAACACTGAAACCGTGAGTGCAAGTTCCTCTCCAACGACCCTCCTACCAACCCCACAGGGGCAGAGCAACAACACGGTGCACCTTCCAGAACTTCCCGCAAGCACATACAACCGCGGCAACACGAAGGCTATGCAGGCACATGTGGTACTTTTTTTTAAACACAGGTGGACATTTACCAAAAGTCCTGCTTTGCGACATTCCCCCCCACCATGTGCCTGATCTACACTGAGGTAGCTTCAATTTTGTGTTATAACAGCTGCTCATTGAGCCGTGGAGTGGGGGAACCTGCCTCCACTTCTTCATTCTTCCAAGTCATGCCACGAAAAACCAAAAATGCAACAGCAAAAAACAACCTTACCAATTAGTTTGCTAGGATATACCGTGTTTCCCTGAAAATAAGACCTACCCATAAAATAAGCCCCAGCAGGATTTCTAAGCGTTTGCACAATATAAGCCCTACCCCGAAAATAAGACCTAGTGATGGGCGTAGCTCCGCAGCGTGTCTGCACAACCCATGCATTTCATCCCGGAGCGGTAAAGAAGCCGAGCAGCCCTTCTCATCTGCCCCATGAGAGCTCTATTGCTCAACATGAGAGATTGTGGCCAATGGTTCTAAAGGAAATAGAGTAGCAAGAAATTCAGGATGGAATTCGGGGTTTGGAGAGTTATGATGATGTTCCAGAAGAAGACGACTTAACTATATTTGAATAAATGTAAACTGTTGTACCTTACTTAAAAAAAAACCCTGAAAATAAGCCTTAGGGTGTCTTCTTGAGGAAAATAAATATAAGACCCTGTCTTATTTTCAGAGAAACACGGTACTCCTGGAAGGGGCATTGGAAGCCATTTGGCTACTGCCTGAGGCGCTTCCGGAATGTCCCCTACTGCCCCTGGCCCCGAGGGGAGAGCTCTATCCAGCCCAGCTCAAAGGTCTCCCCGGCACGGAGACACGTGTGCCCTTCCCCTTGCTGGTGAGGGGTGGGGGTGGGAACTGGCCCAGACTTTTTAAAAACAGGCATGGTGGACAGATTCATTTATCAGAGCCATCAAGCCAATGTCCAGCAACCTGTCACAGAAACTCTGGGGTGTCGACACATAGTTACGTGCTTTTATCACCATGGCTAGTGTCATGTTCTGAGCCAGAGCCAATGACACAGGCAAACGAAAATGATGACACTTTGTGTGAAAAGCAGGGCTTGAAACTACAGTTGGCAGAATCCAGAGGTTATGGGGTTTGGGGGCAGATCACACAACTACGCTTTTCTTTTGCTTTTTTTTTTGCTTTTTTTTTCTTTTTTTTTTTTTTTTAGAAGAGGAAATGAAGTCAGATTTTTTTTTTTCTTTTTTTTTTTTTGAGACAGAGTCTCGCTTTGTTGCCCAGGCTAGAGTGAGTGCTGTGGCATCAGCCTAGCTCACAGAAACCTCACACTCCTGGGCTCAAGCAATCCTCCTGCCTCAGCCTCCCGAGTAGCTGGGACTACAGGCATGCGCCACCATGCCCAGCTAAATTTTTTTATATATATTAGTTGGCCAATTAATTTGTTTCTATTTATAGTAGAGACGGGGTCTCGCTCTTGCTCAGGGTGGTTTCGAACTCCTGACCTTGAGCAATCCGCCCGCCTCATCCTCCCAGAGTGCTAGGATTACAGGCGTGAGCCACCACGCCCAGCCACAACTACGCTTTTTAAAAGGGATATGTCTACACAAATGACCAAGGCAAGGGGAGGTGGCAAACTAAGAAACAGAAAAAAATAATAATGGGCAAATGTTACCAAGACAACAACAGAAGTCACAACATCTGTATCAAACATGAGATTCAAAGCAAACAACATTAAAAGGGGCAAAAAAAAGATGTGTTCTAGAGATAAAAGGGATACAGTTTAATCCCCATTTTGGAGGGAAAATATATGTACACATTGTATTTTCTTGTTTCTGATGCACATTTTAACCCTGTTCAAATTTCTGAAATCAGAAGTATCTAAGGGCCAGGGGAACGTGAGTGGTTACATTTCCATGACCTCTGCCGTCTATTATTAAATAGCTCATCGTGTGGCGTACATCTTTGCAGCTGGGGACAAGGAAAGGAAATGACAGCCAAAAAAAAAAAGTCTGAGTGGATCTTTCTGTTCTTCCTTTTCTTTATCCTCCAAATTACTGTTAGAATCAGATAAAACCAATAACTATTTCTTTCCCTTTGACCAAAAACCCATTTCTGGGAAGCCCCCTGGTCCTGCTTTTACTTTTTTTTTTTTTTTTTTTAATAAAAAAATAACTTCCATGGCCAGGCGCGGTGGCTCATGCCTGTAATCCTAGCACTCTGAGAAGCCAGGGCAGGAGGATCACTTGAGGTCAGATGTTTGAGGCCAACCTGAGCAAGAGTGAGACCCTGTCTCTACTAAAAATAGAAAAATTAGCTGGGCATGGTGGAGTGTACCTGTAGCCTCAGCTACTCAAGAGGCTGAGGCTGGAGGATTGCTTCAGCCCAGGAGTTTGAGGTTGCTGTGAGCTAGGCTGATGCCATGGCACTCTAGCCGGGGCAACAGAGTGAGACTCTGTCTCAAAAAAAGAAAAAAGAAAGAAAAGAACTTCCAATGTGACAGAAGCTCTGCACACAGACATAGCTGTTCATTGCTTTGGTAATTATGGTGGTAAAATACCCATCATCACCCAAACCACTAAGCCAGCAGGGTCAGTGGCAGAAGATGGTACCAACCACAGGATGTGGGATGTCACTCAGCCACGTACAAACATTGATAAAAAATAAAAGTAAGATAAAAGCTCATCACATATGGACATGCACGTGATAAAACACAGACTTCACTAAGTCTAAAAATCAGGATATAGTAGTCCCCTCCTTATATCCGAGGTTTCACTTTCTGTGGTTCCAGTTACCCACAGTCAACCTCAGTCTGAAAATATTAAATGGAAAATTCCAGAAATAAACAATTCATAAGTTTTAAATTACATGCCGTTCTGAGTAGCATGATGAAATCTAGCGCCATCCCTCTCAGGACGTGACTCATCCCTTTGTCCAGCGCACCCACTACCCACCATCTTGGTTATCAGATTGACTGTCACGGCATCGTGGTGCTGGTGTTCAGGCAACCCTTATTTTACCCAATCATGGCCTCAAAGTGCAAGAGCAATTTGGCTACACCAGTGAGAAGCCGTGAAGTGCTTCCTTTAAGTGAAAAGGTGAAAGTTCTTGACTTAATATGGAAAGAAAAAAATTGTATGCTGAGGTTGCTAACATCTAAGAATCTTCTATGTGTGAAATTGGGAAGAAGTAAAAAGAAATTTGTGCTAGTTTTGCTGTCATGCCTCAAATGGCAAAAGCTATGGCCACAGTGCGTGACATGTGCTTATAGCATAGGGTTTGGTATTCTCTGCGGTTTCAGGCATCCACTAGGGGTCTTCAACCACACCCACCCCCACAGCAGATAAGGGGTGGCTACTATTACAAAAGTGCATCTCAAACAAACAGTAACTGTGGTTGTTCTTGGGGAGACGGGCTGTAGGGCAATTTCCTTGGGTGTCTGATTCTCCCTTTGTTGACAATCAATCAGTCTGTTCTGTTCCAGTCTCTTGCTACATCATCAAAAGGCCACATGGGGCGAATCTCTGGTCCTCTCCCCTAATAGCCAAGTGTCCAGCTATTTGCACACCAGGAAGTGGGCACACAAGGCCTCCAACAGAAGACGCTAGCTTGGGAGCTAGGTGCACTGGCATACACCTGTAGTCCTAGCTACTAGGGAGACTGAGGCAAGAGGATCACTTGAGCCCACGAGTTTGAGACCAGCGTAAACAACGCAGCAACACCCGTCTGTAAAAAAAGATTAAAACAAAGCAAAACAAAGGCACCACCTTGGGTAAGGCGGAAAGAGGCAGTGTGGCTCTAAATGGTTAAGGCCCCCAAGTGGTCTTAACTGGAGCTAGACCCCCCAGAGTTGGAAGCCCAGCTCAGGGGATCATTAGCCACTGTGACCTTGGGCTGGGTCTGGTCCTTGTCCTCTCATAGGCCACTTGTAACGTGCAATTTATGTGAGAAATCTACTTCACATGGTCCTGTGAGTACATGGTAAAGCAGTTAGAACATGTCTGGGCCTACTATGGGGTCACCTGGGAGGAGGAGGATTTATGGTGGCACCTGCTCTGCAAGGCCCTGAAATGCCTGAGGTGGCTGTGGCCTTGGAAGAGGTGAGCACAGTGCAAGGTTCCTGCGGAGGACGCACACACAGCCCCTCCATTACTACCTCCCGACATTGGGAAATCGATGCGAGTCTCACCCGTTTGTGAGTTTCTCTAGAATGTCACTGTTATTTGAGGGTTCATCCTGTACCAGGGACATGGGGCAGAGAGACCTGAGTCAGACACTGTAGAAAACTGGCTAAGTCTGAATACAACTGCTATAGGGTGGGGACAACTGGCCATGAGCTTCCCAGCGGCCAGTGTCAAAGGGTAACAGGTCTCATATTGTGAGTTCTTGAAAGTCAAGTTCTTGAAAGGGACTATGTGAATAGGGGTGGGGGGAAAATCCCACCTCTATTTTCACATTTTAACCACTAAAGAAATGAGATTTTCCTTCAGGTGAGAATGGAGGCCACAAACCACAACGGAACCAACAGTGCCGGGGACTCTACCACCAACAGAAACCACAGAGAGTGTCGCGGCACATGACAGTTACTGCAGAGACCTCAGAGCATCCTTTGTGCTCGTCGCTGGGAAAGCAGGGTGCTGCTAGACGCTGGGGGACAGTCTCACCAACCGAGCGTGTCCCCAGTGGAGCACCTGAACGCTAAGCCATACCACACAAACGGTTTCTCAACATTGTGATAGCTGCGCTTCAATATCACTGTTTTCATTTGGGTCCCGGATGTTTTACTCCCACTTTACAGAGTCACTCAGGGACAGAGGTGGGAGGTTAAGGACCTCTGTAAGGTAGGGGTAGGGGCTCCCGGTGGGCAAGTGGCCGAGTCAAGGCTGCCAGGGGTGTGCACCCGACCTCCCCGCGCCCCCAGCCCTCGGGCCCCCCCTACCTTCCTGGGGTCCTTCCGGTCCCTGGCGCGGCCGGTGTCCTTGCGCGGGCTCAGGGGGCCGCCCTTGGCGCGGGTGCGGGGCGCGGGCGCGGGCGCGGCGCGGGCAGGTGCGGGCGCGGCGGCAGAGGCGTCGTGCAGGAAGATGCGCTCGCTGCGGCGCCGCGTCCACAGGTCGTCGTCGCTGGCCTCGGGCCCCGCCTCGAAACCGGGCTCCTTGGCGCCCCGCAGCTTCCGAGCCTTGCGCCCCTTCTCCGCCGCCAGCTTGGTCTTGTCGGGGCTGGCGGGGCCCCGGGCGGCGGGCGCGGGCGCGGGCGGCCCCTGCTCCCCCAGCGCCTTCTTGGGCCGCAGCAGCCCCGCCGGCGACCGCTTGCGCACCTTGACCTCGCTCTCCGAGTCGGTGTACTCGAACTCCGTGCCTGGACGTGGGGGAGGAGGAGGGGCTCACGGACCGGCTCTCCAGGGCCTCCTGCCACCCTCCCCCCAGGCCCCCCTACCCCCAGCCACCACAGACCTGTCACTCCTCCCCAGGTCAAGGAAACTGAGGCCAGAGAAAGAGAAGGGCTCACCGCGGCCCACCCCCGGTGTCTCCTCGCTGTCCCGAGCCCTCAGCCAAGGGCACCGTCCGGGAAGGTGAAGACCAGGGGCGCGGGAGCGTGTGCTCCCGTGTGACCGTGGAAACCTGGGGCCAGGGCATGGAGCGGCGGGCCCCACGCCGGCAGGGCTGCAGCAGCGGTGGTGTGGGAAAGCCCGCAGGAAATCCCCTACCCAGCCTCTCTGCCCCCCTTCCTGCAGCGGGCGTCAGCCAGGCCCACTCCCCTGTATAGACGGCGGGCGCATCAGAGCCCCCAGCCCTGCTCTCTCTCCACGCCCACGCCCTGCTTCCCTCTGCCCTAGATCACAGCCCCTAGCTGGACTGCCCCACCTTCCTAACCTCCAGTCTTTCTCTTCTGCTGTCTCCTCTGCCCAGAGCCCAGCACACACAACCCCCACCTCTACCTGGAAAAGCGCTGACCCACTTGCCCCTGGGGCAATCCTTTCTGCCACACCTCTGCCATCACAGGCAATGTCACACTCAGCTATTTCCCTTGGAGACCAGGTTTCGGCCTGCCAGGCCCCAGGAAGTGAATCCCCGAGTCCTCCTGGAGCCTCTAACATCCTGCAGCTCAAGCTCTGGCTCACAGTGGGTGCCCGGGGAAAAGCGTGTAGGTAAGTTGGGGTTTCGGGGTGTATTCATCCCACTGGCTGTGAGGAGGACCTGCCTCCTCCAGCCAGACCTCGGGAGGCGATGTCTGCAATAGCCCCTTGGGTTGACAACCCCAGAGAGGGCCAGTGGCCTGCCCTGGATTCCCCAGTACACAAGTCAAAAAGCCAGGGCCCAACCCCAAGCGTACTGATCCCTAGGCAGCCGTAGGAGGCCAGGCCCCACTGTCCCAGATAATGCAGGCACAGTGACAGGGATAGGCAGGGACCACCCGGTGGGAAGGAGTCCCTGGCAAAGTTTAGTGATCCCATTAATTAATCTTCTGTTAACAGAAGTTGCTTCCCACTGCACAGGAAAGCAACAAGGGGCTTTTGTGGCTGACAAGGGGCAGACCCTAAAGCGCAGGCCTCTGGGTGTGAGGGAATGAGACACCCCTCGCAGACCACTAGAACACTGGACATATGTCACCCACTGCAGGCACACCGCGTGTGGGGCAGGGATGGACAGTGGACAGAGAAAAGGTGTACTTGGAAGGTGGGAGTGGAGTCACAGAGTCAGATCTCATCCCTGTACCTTCTGCCCTGGCACTAGACACAGTCTTCTTGGCACACCCAGTTAGGGGAAGGGGGCCTGTATGGAAAAGAAGAGTCCTCCTGACCCCAGAACCAGGAAAGAGACGGTTTGACAACACAGAAGGGGGGGAGAAAGGGAGCCAAAGAGGGACCCCAAACTCCATCTACTCCTATCTCCAGAGGACCCACGGACAACCCACACAGGACAGACTCACAGCCCTCCAGGTGACAGCAAGACAGGATCTGAACAGAGACCCAAGCTGCCACGAAAGAAACACAAAGTGGAATTCAAAGCCTGCCAAGGAAATACTTGTTGAAAGGAAAGAAATGATATTTACTAGGGAAAAATAAGAGCATCCTCACTCCACACAATCTCACCCCCACAATGTCCAGCATACAATGCAAAATTACTTGCCAAATGAAGAACCATGAAAACGCATGACATTCTGGAGAGAAAAGAAAGCCAACTGAACGTGACCCTGAGATTACGCAGATGTTGCGACTAACAGCCCCAGATTCTGAAGGCGATGTGAGAAGTGCCCTCAAAGAAGTAAAACAAAACTTGTTTTCAATGCATGGAAATTTCCCCAGAGAAATGGGAAGGTCCAGCAAAGAAACAGACACAATTGAAAAAGAACCAAATAGAAATTCTAGAACTGAGAAGTACAATTTCAGAAAAAAAAAAAAATCAATGAAAAGACTTATGAGCTGAATGGATATGAGTAAGAGAAAAGTAAATTGAGTTTGGGAAAAAACCCAGCATAGCCTCAGAGAACTGTCAGATGATAAAAATGGTCACATGTATGTCCAGCAGGAAAGGAAAGAGAGAACAGAGTAGGAAAAAATACTTGAAGATTTCTTTAAGTATTGCTTCAATAGCTAAAAGTTCCCAAAATTTGATGACAAACAGAAAATTGCAGATGCAAGATGTCAGATGAACACCAAGCAGGACAAACACAGAGATATCCGTTCCAGGCACATCACAGCCAAACTGTTGAAAGCAAAGATAAAGACAAACCCTCAAGAGCAGCAAGAAAAACCTGACCCATTCATGTATAGGACAATCATCTGATTAATGGGCTAAGTTGTCACCAAAAACAGAGACTAGAAGCAAGTAGAACATCTTTAAAGCGCTGAAAGGAAACACCATCAACCGCAAATTCTACATCCAGTGAAAATATCAACTCAAGAATGAAGGTGAAATACAAAGCTTTCAGATGAAAAAACACTAAGAAAATTCATCACCAGCAGATCTACAATACAAAAATGCCAAATGAACTTCAGGCTGAAATAATATAAAAACTCAAATCCTCAGAAAAGGATGAAAAACAACAGAAATATCAAATATCAAAATAAATGCAGGCCGGGCGCGGTGGCTCACGCCTGTAATCCTAGCTCTCTGGGAGGCCGAGGTGGGCGGATCCTTTGAGCTCAGGAGTTCGAAACCAACCTGAGCAAGAGCGAGACCCCGTCTCTACTATAAATAGAAAGAAATTAATTGGCCAACTAATATATATAGAAAAAATTAGCTGGGCATGGTGGCGCATGCCTGTAGTCCCAGCTACTTGGGAGGCTGAGGCAGCAGGATCGCTTGAGCCCAGGAGTTTGAGGTTGCTGTGAGCTAGGCTGATGCCATGGCACTCACTCTAGCCTGGGCAACAAAGTGAGACTCTGTCTCAAAAAAAAAAAAAAAATTTAAAAAATTTAAAAAATAAAATAAATGCAAAAAGTCCCAGTTACTTAGGAGGCTCAGGCAGGAGCATCGCTGAGCCCAGGATTATGAGGTTGCAGTAAGCTGTGATGACACCACAGCACTCTAGCTGGGGTCACAGAGCAAGACTCTTGTCTCAAAAAAAAAAATTCCTTTTAATTTCTTTATAAATCACATAAATGTTTAAAACTAAATTTATAACATTGTCTTTAGGAGTTGACACTATGTGAAGATGTATTATTAATATATATACATAATATAAAAGAGGTGTAATGTGGACCTATGAGGTTATAAGGTTTCTGTATTTTATGTGAAGTAGCACATTATTAACTATATGTGGACTGTGAAAAATTAAGAATGTATGTTACCTCTATTTTCAATTTTAAAATGCCAAAACCATCCTGAGAAAACAAACAGGAAAATTAAAATGGAATTCTTACCCATATTCAAATAACCTAAAAAAAGACAGCAAAGGAGAAACAGAAGAACAAAAATTGGCCAAAAAAGAAAAAAAAATGATAAGACAAATAAATTGCAAGTCAAAAGATGAAAAATATATACCATGCAAATAGTAACCAAAAAAACACTGGAGTGGCTATATACTAACATCAAACAAAAGACTTTTTAAATCAAAAATTGTTACTAGAGACAAGAATATTCTAAAATGATTTTTAAAAGTCAATTTATCAGGAAGACATAAACATAGGTGAACAAAATCCAGCAACAAATAAAAAAATATTATATACCATGACCAAGTGAGATTCATTCCCCGGAATGTAAGGTTGGTTCAACATACCAAAAAGGTAATAAATGTAACATTTATATTACTCAACAAACTGGAAACAGAAGAGAACTTCCTCAACCTGACAAAGGACATCTATGAAAAACCCACAGCTAACATGATACTTAATGGTAAAAGGCTGAATGTTTTCTCCCTAAAATCAGAAGCAAGCCAGATATTTGTTCTCACTACTTCCATTCAGTTTTCTACTGGAGGTTCTAGCCTGGTTAATTAAGCAAGAAAAAGAAATAAGACATACACATTATAAAGGAACATGTAAAACTATTTCTATTTGTAGATGGCATGATCTCATATATAGAAAATCCTAAGGACTCTACTAAAAACTATTAGAACCAATAAATGAGTTTAGCAAGGTTTCAGGACACAAGATCAACATACAAAAATCAACTGTATTTCTATATACTAGCAATGAACACTCCAAAAATAAAACAAAAATAATGCCACTTACAAAAGCATCAAAAAGAATATGAATAAATTTAATAAAAGAAATGCACAACTTTATACACTGTAAACTACAAAATATTATTGAAAGAAATTAAAGACAACCCAAATAAATGGAAAAACATCCCATGTTTTTGGATCAAAAAGTTTATATTGTTAAGATGTCAGTACTCCCCAAACTGATGTACGAGTTCAACACAATCACTACCAGAATCCCATCTCACTTTTTCTTTATTTTTTTGGCAGAAATTGACAAGCTGCTCCTAAAACTCATATGGAAATACAAAGGACTCAGAAGCTCTAAGACAACTTGTAAAATGAAGAACAAAGATGGAGGCCTGCTTGGGCACGGTAGATCACACCTGTAATCCTAGCACTTTGGGAGCCCAAGGCAGGAAGATTGCTTGAGCCCAGGTGTTTGAGGTTGCTGTGAGCTATGATGATGCTACTATACTTCAGCCTAGGCAACAGAGAGAGACTCTGTCTCAAAAAATAAAATAAAATAAAAAATAAAATAATAAAATAAAGATGGAGAAATCACACTTCCTAATTTCAAAGTCTACACAAGGCTACAATAATCAAGACAGTGTGGTACTGGGTTAAAAACAGACATAGAGATCAATGGAATAGAATTGAGAGTCCAGAAGTAACCCCTTGCATTTATGTCCAACTGATTTTCAACAAGGGTGCTGAGACTATTCATTGAAGAAAGAACAGACTTTTCAACACATGATACTGGGACAACCCGCTATCCACAGGCAAAAGACCCCTAGGTCACACTATACTCAAAAAGTAACTAAAAATGGATCACAGACCTACATAAAAGATCCAAAACTATAAAACTCTTAGAAGAAAACAGGAGTAAATCTTTGTGACTTTGGATTGGGCCATACTTTCTTACAGATGACACCAGAAGCACACGGGACAAGAGAAGAAACATAAATTAGACTTCATCAAAATTGTAACATTTTGTTTCGAACCCCACTATCAAGAAAGTGAAGTCAACTCACAGAATGGGAGGTGTGCTGACCATCTCCACCTCAAACACCAACCCCAACAGCAGACGGGCTACATCCACGTAAGGACACCTGGCCTGGTGAAGATGGGACAGGCCCAGGAAAGAGTCTCAAGAAGCCAGGGCACTGATGAGCCTGGGACAAGTCCCTGGATGTGATCAGAGATGCAGGGACAGGAAGGAAGTAAGCACCGTCTCCTGCCCAAAGGTTAGTGCCTGCTGCCTCAGTTTCCCATCTAGGCAGTGAGGAGGGCACGCCTAGTCTAACAGAGCCACCATGAGGATCAACTACAAGGGACCACAGCGCCTGCCGACCCTAGCCTGGACTCCCCCAGGCCCAGGCTGCATAAGGCTGCCCCTGCCCCGTCTCACTGACTACACCCCCTCTGATGCCCCCAATGGAGCAAGCTTGCTCTTCACCTTTGCTCAGACTGTTCCTTCTCCCTGCGCCTGTTTCTCCACAGTCCAGCCAGGTGTTGCCCACCTGGAGTGGCCCCCTAGCACCCCCTACCCCGTCTGGGTCAGGGGCCTCCCTTGGGCTCATGTAGCCCGAGTGCTCCCACACTTGGGATGACAGTGAAGGCAGCTGCTGTTTGCATGACCGCCAGACCCCTCCTTGGAAGCAGCAGGTGGGGGCCTGTGTCACCAGCACCGTCTGCTCAGAACAGGCCCTGCTGCACCCCAGCTCCGTGCCTGTGTATCTCTAAGCCTCAGTTTCCCCACCTGTGGGTTAGGGTGCTGGCACCCTCCTCCCCGCACTCACCCAGCAGGCTCTGCCGCTCCTCTTTCTTCCGGGCCTTCTGCTTGGCCTCCAGCTGCACCACCGACAGGTTTGGCCCCACTGCAGGGCTGGGGAGCGCACTGGCTGCGAAGCGGGCCAGCAGGCCCAGCCCACTCTCCTCCAGGCCCGGCGACAGGGCCCGCTCCCGGGCGCCCAGCCTGGAGCCACCGCCAGCCTCATCCTCCTCCTCCTCGAGCTCCTCCTCCTCCTCCTCCTCGTCCTCCTCGGAGCTCTCATCTGGCGTGCAGAAAACAGGGGCGAGTCAGAGCCCTGGCCTCGGTGCGTGCCACCCCCACTGCCCCCAGCCCGGAGCGGCCACCTGCCCCTTCTGGGCTCCAGCCTAGCCCCTCCGTCCTCACCATGGGGCCGCTGGGGGTGGATCCAGAACCAGCCCACAAGTGCCCCCGATGGCCCAACACCCCCATCGATGGAGCCCAAGATATGGGCATCCTGGCTTTGGGTACCAGGGTGGGCTTCTGTAAGTGGGGCACCAACATGCACCTGTGCTGTGGGCAGGGGCCAGACACACGGACATGGACTGGAGACAGCTCTCTCCACGGTCTCACACACACACGCCCCGACACACAACATGGAGGCCGAGGAGGAGGCAGGAGAGGAGGAGGAGGGAGGAGGTGGAGGGGGGTGGCAGGGTCCTTGGGGCTCCAGCTGGGCTTTGGGCACAGGCACCAGTGGCAGTTTCACCAGCCTGAGGCCTGGGGGCTGGCGGCAGGAGAAGGTGGAGTTTGGTCTCTTCCTGGGGGCTGGGAGACTCCTATGGTTCAAGCCCTGAGCAGGACTCTGGAGCCCAAAGTTGACTCCCAGCAGCACCCCATGCTGGGGAGCCTGGGACAAGTCCCTGGCCTTCTCTGAGCCCAGTTTCTGATCTGCAGCAGGGGCAACCCTCCCACCCCACCAGCCCAGCTAAAGGGAGGGTCCAGAAAAAATCACAGGTATGTAGGAAAAAGCCATCTGCAGGCTTATAGAGGATCAAACAGAAACAGGGCCACCCCCTGTGACCTGCAGAAAGGAACCTGCAGCTGGCCGCTCCTCTTGACTAGCAGGGAGCCCAGACGGGGCAGGTGGGGTCAAGCCACTTTGCTCCAGGCCGAATGAGGCTCTGTGGGGCTAGGCACTCAGGGGGCAGGGCAGGACTTGAACCCAGAGCGGGCTGGCCAGCTAAAGGCCCGGCCTGTCTCTCTGGTTGGTGAATAAAGACAAGCTTCTCCCCAGCGACTGGCCCTGCAACCTGAGGGCCCATACCCCTGACCCAGCATAGCTCTAGGGACAAAGGCAGGATGGGCAGTGAGCAGGAGACAATGACATTTCCTGTCCATGAACCAAACTCCCGCCAAGGGACAGACCATCTGAGGGTCTGAGGCACCTACTTGCTGGCTGATCTCTGATGGGGACGGGCAGGCGAGGGGCATCGGAGAGCTAACCACCCTGAGATCCCACGGCCAAAGGCATGGCCTAGGCCGGGCTGGATGGCCGGGCTGGATGGCCGCCCTATCTAGCAAGAAACAGCGGGGGTGCCACACTCTCTCCAGGGCAGGGCAGCCTGGGCTCTGGGAGGTGGACAGGGAAGACGGAAGGCCAACTCCACGTTCTCCTGCTGAAGCCCAAGCCGCCCACTTGCTTCAGTGCAACTAGTGGCCAAAGTGGCAGCCCCAGGGGTGCCAATGCAGGCAGAGGGTCTGTCTACCAATTTATCAGAGGGAGCCCTCAGAGCAGGAGGCAGTGACAGAGATGGCTTGAGGAGTCTGCACAGGGCTGGAGGGAGGGAGGAGCCAGAGAGAGAGAGAGAGGAGGTTAAGAGGGTGAGAAGCCGGGAGACTGGCCCCCAGAGCGATGGATGGAGCAGGCTGGAGAGGCCAGCGGGGTGGCAGGGGCAGCAGGCAGTGCACACTTGCGGTCATTCACATTGCGGACATCACATGGTTCTGTCTCCGCCCCAGTGGGCCACAGCGGCAAAGCAGGCTAAGTGTAGGCAGACTTTCGACAGCGCCTGGGTCTCCCACATCGGGCCTCCCTGGGGTTGGCCAATCTAAGCAGGATGATGGGCGGGGGCTGGCTGGGGTGGGGATTCGGGTTGGATGTGTGGCCAGGAATTTTCCCTTCTAAAGACACCCTGCCCTGGCTGCTCAGGTGTGGAGACTCCAGAACTCCAGGACTCTCGCCCAGCAGGGCCTAGCAGGGGAGGGCAGGGCCAGCTGTGTTCTGGATGCCTACAATGTCTGCATCAGAGCCCAGGAAGCCAGCCACAGGCTGACCCCAGCACATTGGAACAGAAGACCCTCCGCCTCCCCGTGTGCCTGACAAGGCCACACCAGCTGCTCCCGGGGGGCTGGTGTGCTCCGGCCAGGCTCCATGGGGGCAGGGATGCGGAGAGGGTCTGAAAACTCAGAAACCCTTTCTAGAGTTGTCCACACCTGAGGTGACAGAACTTGCCAAGGGCTGGGGGAGAAAAAGTCCCAACAAAGAACCCCAAGGAAATGAAGAAAAACTTCGTTTTATTTTAAAAAAGTCTTGGCTCAGGACATGGGGTTGGCTGTTACGACTTGGTTTGGTTTTCCAAAACCCAATAAATGTCGAAGCGATCTGCTGCTGCCAGACCCGGTGGGGGCAAACCCCGAGGAGGGGAGGTGTACAGAGGACAGAAAGAAAAGGGTTTTGCCTACCTACGGAGCAACGAGCCAGGCTCGGACCCAAGCTCAGTGACCCGCTGCGCCGTCTGCCCTACTCCCAGCCTTCGCTTTGCGTCCAGAGTGCAGCGTGAGAGCAAATGCAAGAGACCGAAACAGACATTCAAAGCATCATGGGTAGGGGTCAAGGGTGAAGGTATGGTCAGGCTGCTGGGAGGAGAAAGCAGACACACTAGAAAAGCCAAGCCAATTACATGTTTTAGTACCAGGGGTCAGTAAGGCCCTATTACCCAAATATCCCTTTCGAGACCTGATCAGTGGTCTGCATGTAGGAGGGGACAAGCCGAGGGGCCTGAGGGCCCTTTCCTACCCCCTCCGCTATCAGGCTGTGGCTGCTGGTGGCATCCAGCCTGAGCATGCTCTGGGCAGATAGGCCCCTTCCTGAGAGGTCCAGGGGTACTGCCTGCTTCTGTGCAGGGGCTGAGCTGAGGCAGGAACCCAAAAATTTGCAAGTGGGACCCTGGCTTTGTGGGTGCATGGGGAAGGGGGCACAGTCGTGCAGCCACAGGCCCTGGGGAGGGAGGAGTCAGGGAGGGAGAGGAGAAGGTAAACCAACCAGTTCATTCATGGGAGGCCAGGGCAGGGAGGCCTCGGAAAATGAGGCTAGCTGGCAGGTTAGTGGCCTCTCTTCTCGGCCCAGGTTGCCCAGGTTGCGTTTGCTCAGATAGGCAGTAGCCAGGGAGGACATGAGCCCGAAGGACAGTGGGCTCCCTGCTGTGCCATCTCATGGTCACCCAAAATCCATCTCTTCCAATTTGGAGGGGAAGTCTGGGATGGGAGATGGTAGACTAGGAATTCGAGAGCAAGGCTGGGAAACAGGAGTGGCATTCTAGTCCCCAGGGCCCAAGCCAGGTCATGTCCAGGTACGCCATGACACCCCTGGGCCTTCCTTAGGGAGCAACTGATATCCAGGTATTGCTACCCAGGGCCCTTGGGATCCCCAAGGCCTGGCCCTAGAGGGTGTCCGCCTGAAGCAAATCCTAAAACCAGGGCTGGGAAATGCTCTTAAGGATTCACTTGCTTCCCCTTCTTGGCGCATTTCTGATTGAAGGGCCGAAGTTCTAACTCCAGAAGTACGGCTCCTCTGAGAATGTTCTCAGAGGTCCTGGGGTATGATTCTCTTTTTATGTGAGGTGGCTGAGGGCCCCGGGCCAAGCTGAGGCCAGACCAGGCCTAGGACCAGGCCAGCGCTCTCTGAAGCACTGTGCCTTGTCCCTCAACTTGGCAATGAAGCCAACACTTTGAAATTTAATAAGACCAGGGCTGTCAAGAGGTCTCGATCTTGCTCTGCCTATGTGCCCTTCAAAACAGAAATACGTGTTAGAAGACAAGTGTTTATAAACAATTATTTTTTAAGCACTGGTGAATTAAGAACAGAGCTTTAAGAAAATAAAAGACAAACAAGCAACTAAAAAAAAAGATGGTGCTGGAGGTGAAAGCAGTTGACTTTAAACCTGAAAATGGAATGAATGCCCACAGCTACCAGGGATATTTGGATAATAGCGGCAAGCGGCAGGCTGCGTTACCCGTCTCTACTCCTTCTGGGTGGTGGGGAAGGGGTGGGGGAGGAGGAACAAAATGGAGGGAGCGTCAACCTAATGTCTAGTAAGGACACAGCAAGAGAGACAAGGCACACGGGTTTAGTTAAAAATGAACTTGATATGTTTAATAAAGCTTGGTATTACCAAAATCGAGGTACAAACATCAAGTCACACGCCCACACGACAGAATTCCATTTACAAAACGTCCCTCAGGAAGCCTCCGCCAGGCCCATGCCAAAAGAGAACCCAACCGAGGCCCAGGGTCTAGGTGGGCGGAGGATGGGCAGGCGCTCGGGGCGGGGGGAGGGCAGAGAGGAAGGAGAGTGGAGGAAGGTGAAGACTAAAAACCAGTCCATATAATAGCTCAAAAAGAGCTAGCCAAGGGTGTTATCACATTGATACAGTACAAAGAAAAACAAAAATAAAAATAATCGGGCTGATACAGCAGGCTACGCTGCCAAGAACCCAGATGGCTGCCCTTCCTGCGGCCATCGAGGCGGACGGCCCCGCACGGCCATCTCTCCCGTGCGCTCGCTCTCCCCTCGCACTCGCTCTCACTCTCACGCACGCTCGCTAGAAAACACGGAGGGTATTTTGTGTTTGAAGCTAGTAACCTTGGTCAAATGAGTCCTCCGAAGAGTCGCTGAAGGAGGAACGGGCCTCGGCCTCTCGGAGCAGCAAACAAAAGGGCTGCTTCCTGCTGGCGGCCGGCTTGGGTTTCAGAGTCCGGGGGGCCACCAGGCCCCTCTTGGTCAGCTTGGGGCCGCCGGCCGCCTTGCTGCTCTTCGCAACCACGCCACACAAGATGGAGGACGTCAGCTTGGAGCCGGAGGGGCCTTGGGCAGACCACTCGTCCTTCAGGAACTCTTCATCTTCCTCTGAGTCCGTATCTGCAGTCAGAGTAGTTTTTAATACAGATAAGTGACAGAGCACCGGGGAGGAGGGAGGAGCTGGTGACTTCATTCTATTGTCTTTAGTGGTTCTGAGAACATACTGGAAAATGCCAAAACAGAGAGGTCCAGAACTGCACTCAACGCCACAAGCTCCCCTCCCAGGCCGTGCCTCTGGCCTCGCACCTGCAGGCCTTGAGTGCCACACAGCTCGCCTTCCGAGTGCCACAACCTGTCACTCAGCCTTTCTCAGCACCAGTGCAGGGAGGCCCCTTCTCAGGAATGACTCTCTCCTGGTCATGGTGGTCACTGCCCCGGCAGTTCCCCTTGTCCCTGGGACTGCACACGGCCCAGGGATGACTACTGGGGAGGGACCTGACCTGGGGGGAGGGCTCACGAGAGCCAATCGTGCGCATCTCCTCCCAACTCCCCACTCAGCTCAAAACAGCAGTGGTGAGGGCATTTACACCAAACAGACTGACAAATGATGTTAAAAGCAGGGACTGCCCTGCCCTCCACAGGTCAGAGTCATTCACCTGCACACCACTGCTGGCTCCCCACAATCCTCCAACTACGCTATTGAGGACAAGGTATTTCAAACCCTCCTGGGACAGGACCGACTAGCTTTGGGGAGGGGAGCCTGTCGAGTGAGTACAGCTCTGGCTCCTAAACCCACCCCAAACATACACCATTTTAACCTGTTCTTCATATTGGGCTGTTGAGCAAGACGGGAAGAGCGAGCTCCACATCCACAGACTTAATCCCTTGATCTGCTCAAATCCACTCCAAACAGGAGGCACATTAACCAACACAGCTACTTACAGCTTTGGCAACCTCTGTGCCTCCAAGTCCAAAAGATGCTACACACATGGCGGGGGGTGGAGCGGGAAGGGGATATGTGTTGGGGGGGATCCTCTGGCTGCTTCCACCAACATCTGCACTGCCCACTCTAACAAAGAGCACAAGTTCAAGTACAACAAGCTCCAGGGCAGAACAAGGTCAAATCTCACCAAGCTTCCAGCCCCATTCCTGCCCACTAGCCAGTTATCCCTCTTGTGTATGTCACCCCGTCCCTCTCAAAGCCACATCCCAGGCTGGACTTGCCGGCAGGTAACAACAAACTTGGCTTCCCACAAGAACCCACGGGGTGTGCCACCACCCCCTACAACCCAAAGTAAAAAAGCAAGAGGGTGTCCCTCTCGCTTCAACCCCATCCAGCACAGCGTCTCTCTGCTGGAAGACAGCCCCGCCTCTCTGCACTCTCATGATCTAGAATTGTAGAAAAGCAAATTATCAAAAATAAATAAAAGTGCTCTCTCTACAGAGCTAGGTGCATATCACAGCCAGTCTCCAGGAGCAGACAGGCCCACTGACTTTCTTATTGCAACATTAGCCTACTTCTCTCCCCAAGATGGTGAAGTTTTTAGGCAAAGGCATAACAGAGTCAGACTGGCAATTTCAACATTCCCTCACACACGCAAGAGCACACATACCCCTGCTGCAGTGGACTCACCAGCTCAGAGCACCCCAAAGACCTCAGGGGCTAAGCTAATCCCTGACATCTAGCTCCATTACATCCACGCCCACCTGCAAGTAGAGGAGTGGGGATTCTTCCAGCAAGCAGCCATGCCACACTCACAGACTCCTCACCCTTGGCAGATCAAAAGAGCAGCAATCCTCTTTGCCTCTTCACTACTCCAAAATTCCAGAGACGGAAAGAACAAAGAAAAGCCCTCTCCTTCCACTGATACTGTTTGTCTCCACTTGTGCCCACAGGCCAGCCAGAGACCTGGTCAGTGCTGTTCTGATCACACCCATCCCAATCGGAGGGGCACAGAAGCTATGGCAATCTCACACATCCTCAGCACACAAGGCACAGCTGCTTGCCTCAAGACCATCAGAGCATCAGTCCTGGTGACCCAATAGTCAGAGGCAAACAAAAACCACACCCAAAAAAAGGCACCTTAATCCTGGGCCAGGCGCTATCGTCAGCTCTTTGCCCATATGAGCTCACTTAAGGCTCCCAAAAGCCCCATAAGGTAAGTGGTGATATTTTTAACTCCAAGTCCATAAACACTTTCTATTTTCTTTCCTTAAAAAAATACACTTTATCGTAACATTAAACGTGTCCATTTTCTCCGCTTGACATCCAAACTCCGCCCTTCCTCCCATGAACTAGCCAGAACCAATCAAAACCCCTGGACACACAGAACCAGGGAGCTGCAAAGGCAAAAGCCCTCCACCCCGGCCAGGGGACTCCCAGAACACACACCGCTGGCACCAATACCGCCCAGGAACCAAGAAACCCCTCCAGGCCTCCCTGCTTCAGCCACATCATTAGTATCAGTCTGCCCTGAGCATGAGGCACTCGGTCCAGAAAAACCGAGCGAGCACCTACTGCCCGCCAGGCAATAGGCTAGACAGAGGCCACGGAGAGGCGCCTTGACCAGGAAAATCACGAGGGCAGCTGACACGGCAGAGTTCAGTGACATGAAACTCCGTCCCCCAGTCCCACTGGCTGCTCCATTTCAAGGGCTCAATAGCCACACGCTGCCAATGGCCACCACACTAGACAGGGCAGATGTGGAACACTTCCATCGTGTCAGAAAGTTCTAGAGAACAGGCAGGGCGGGGAGAACCAGGTTTAACCCTGATTCGAATTTCCCCATCCAAGCACACAATCTCTCTGGCCTCAGCATCCTCAGCAACGAAACGCGGGTTCATAGGGCTGCCACAGGCAGTGAGATAAGGCCTGTGAAGCCCTTGGCTCGGAGCCCAGGACTGGGCGTGCTCCGTAAACAACACTCGCTTCGCAAAGCCAGCAGAGGACAGCGAGCTTCCTGCGGGCAGGCTCATCGGTCAGCTCTAGGACTCTCAAAAGCAGTCACACCTCCCTCTCCTCTCTAGGCCGAGGAGCCGCAAACTCTATGGCGCGCAAGACCTCCATGCAGACAGCTTCCGGCAGGCGAGGGGCGGGCACGAGGAGGACATCCTCTCCCATCCGCCACAGGCGCCCACCAATCACAGGTGCCTAGCCAACACCGCACCCGCCAATCACAGGCACTTCCGTTTCAGGAGGATTCACTGCCGGGAGGCTTTGCAAAGCCAGAAGATGCCCTTAGTACGCCCCACAGAAAAGGAGGAAGGGGAGGGTAAAAGAGCTAAAAGGGGAGAAAAGGAGAGAAGCCGTGGTTGAGAGGCGGAGCGCGGCGGCCGCTACTTACTGTAGGAGTAGCTGCTCACTTCCGAGGTGAACGGAGAATGGGCCGACTTGGGCTGGCCTCTGGCCTTGAACCCCACCTCCATCTTCCTGGCTTTGGCAGCCCTTTTATGTTTACCTTCTCTGGAGGATTTCAGAGACAGACCGAGGCCTTTGGCCAGCGCCTTCCTGTCCTTGCCCAGCAGGCTGTCATAAGGAGTCAAGTACCTGCCGCAGCCCCCATTAGTTTTCGATTTCCCCCCAGAACTGTCCGAAAACTTGAAGGGCGATTTCAACTTGTCCTGCTTTGTAAGGGAGAGGGCCTTGTCTAGCTTGCTTGCCAACTGCTCCTGGTCGCTGGCCATCTTCTTCTTCTTAATCTTTAGCTGGAGAGGGAAGTTGGGTCACAGGTTAAGACATCTGGCAAAATAGGATAGAGGGTTTCAGTGCACGTGTTCTGACGAGCCTGGGCTCGTCCTTAACCCTGACTCTGTGACTTCTAGCAAGTTGCTTACCTCCTCTCAGCCTCAATGCTTATACGCTGTAAAATGGGATACTTATGTCTGGGCATCACCGTTCTGAAGATGAGTGTATGGTTCAATAAGGTACATAAAACGCGTATCACAATGCCTAGCACAAGGTAACCACTTATTAAATAGCTGTTGCTGTGGTTACAGTTATCACTGGCACCGGTCAGTTCTGCTCTGGCTTTCTATGGCACAATCAGGTGCCTCCTAGGAAGCACTTTGAGTAAGCAGAGCTGCCGATGGCCTGGAGAAAGCAGCTGGATTGTGGGAGGAGGGAGGGAGTCAAGATTGAAAACCCATATCGAATCATGGCTGATCTGCTTATCTCAACCACCTACAGCAGCTGACAACAACTGCTGCACAGACTAAACCAGCCCATCCTACTAATGGGCCAAAGCTGCCAAGAAAATGCCTTGAGTGTTCCTTGGATGCCTGAAGCAGAAAGAATGATTAGAGATTTCACAGATTAAATTCCTGCTTGCACATCTATCGTCAACTATAGTCATTTGTTGAAATGAAACATGCAGTTTCAAAGCCATTAATGCCACACATTTGTACATTTTATCTCTGTTTTCTTTAATCAGGTAGCATTTCATATGGAGGGAAAACGTTGGGATAGTGTCATTTAAATAACAACAAAAGCATCTCTCACCCCAGTTTGAGAGTAAACATACTGATGTACAAACTGGCTATCCTTTCCTTCCTGGACCTAGTCTCCCTGTGTGAGTATTCCCCTCTCAAGGCCAAATCTACCAAACCATCCCCTTACTCAGGGCTTTATGGGGAGGGATGACAAGATACATTAGTATTTATAGACAAGGGCCTTAAGTGGAAGATTTCAATGCTCTGCAGAAATAAGAAAAATCAAGGAGTTGGCTCTCACTCCATTACCCCTGGAGAGTTCACAGAGGAAATTACAATGGCATCAAGCCCTTGTTTCTTAGAACTACAGAATGGTGAAGCTTCTCATTAAACAATTACACTGTTAAACAACAGAGTAATTGCATTATTTGGTTAAAAACTTGCAGTCTTCCCTGCTTGGCTTCAGCACGGGGTCATGGGGCATGCAAATGGATGGGGCTTTTAGTCCTGGCTCAGCCTCTGAGGCTGTGTGCTGTGTTACTTTGGTAAATCCCCACCCTCCTCTGGGCCTTAATCTCTCTCCACCCCCAACAGTCCCATAAGGAAGGTTGGAGAAGAGTTGTTCTGTCCCTAAGGCAGCCATTTCTAAGGTTTCTGTGCGGGACCCGGGCCTGCAAAGGAGTGTGAACTCCAACATACCCTCCAGTCCCCAGGGTCGCAGCACACCTAGAAGATCAGGTAACTGACCTGACTGAGGAAGTCGGACGAGGCTTCGTGCTCATCCCACGTCTGGTTCCTCCCCCTGGCTTTCCCCATTCCAATGAGAGCCTCGTGCTCCTCCTCGGGCCCCTTGTGTCGCTTCCTTATCCCTGCTCCCAGCTCGTAGTCATCTGATGTCAGCAGGGACTTGCTGCTCAGCCTGAAACCCAGAGGCACCGTTGGTCAGCACCCTGGCCAGACAACACTCGAGGGCTGGGGGTCCACCCTCATGGCCCTGAAGGGTTGGACTTTGGATGCTGAAGCACAGTGATGCCAGAGTGACGAGTCTGGGAAGAGGGGTCTTGTGAGACTACAGTGCTGGAATTCTGGGTTATTTGTGAATGAGGCAGAACTAGAATTTAATGTGAAAGAAGACAAAAAGACTCCTCTCCAAGTCAGCATCTGCACTGGCCTCTCCCATGCACTTTCACACCTGATCTCACACACACACCTCTACCCGGCCAGATACCTCTTTACCAAAACATGCCAAGAACAAGGATGAGAAACGTCTAGGAAACCTGCCAAGACGGGAGGGGTGTTAAGATCAGGAGGTATGCAAAGGAGCCATTGCTGGCCTCCCGAATCCTCATGAGCAGAGGCAGCGGGGACGGGCCTGGTTCAAGAGCCCCACTTGCCTGCTTTAAGCCGAAGCTTCGCCATAAGCAAGCAGCCAACCTTTACTTGGGGCTGACTGTGTGTCTTGCACTGCATTAGTGCTTCATGTTTACCCACAAATAGTGCTTTATTCTACGTGCTATTTTACAGATGATAAAAGGCTCAGAAAAGCTAACGTGGGGCCTAAGGTCACAATAATGGGTGGAGCTGGGACTCAAAAGCAGGAAGTCCAACCACCGTAGGGCCCGCACCCTGACCACTAGGCCTGGGCCTTGGTGGCCCAGCCTCTTGCTGTCTTCTCCAGCAGCCTCTTCCCTCCCTCCTGTGGCTGGTGATGCTTTCTTCCTCTCTCCATCCTTTCTTCAGTCAAGAACATCCAAGGAAGTTAAATGCAAGATGCAGGGGGCCCCTGGAGCTGTTTCTCCTGAGAAGATATGTGGCCATCCCACTGCCTCTCCTGTGCCCCTGGCAGGCCCCCGAGGCTCCTTTTGCTTCCTCAGGCCAAATCTTTGGGCCACCTAGCGCTTTCCCCGCCCTCATGTCCCAGGCTGAGGAACAGGCCAACCCTTCCTCGATGGGCCTCTTTCAGCTTGTGCTACAGACACCCAGGGAAGACGGAAGCATCTCTCCTGTGCACGCGCAGCCCTGGAGGAAAAGCTCTCATTCCAGCCAGCGTTCAAGAAAACCTCCAGAGGTGCCACACGAAGCTGCTGCTGCCGCTGCCACCCAAGGAGCTTTGTCCCCAGAGTGCACGACGGAGCCAGCCCAGTTGCAGGGAGCAGCCCTGGTGGTGTCAGGCAGGATGAGCCAGCAGGTCAAGGCAGGAGGACGGGGACATGTCCGGCGCAGAGGGAACCAAGCAACAGCCCGAGTCAGAGCCCGTCCCAGCAGGGCTGGCAGCTTGGCGGGTCCCTCTACAGGGAGGAGGTGGTGAAGAGCAGGAATTAGTCCCTAGCCGTGGAGGAAGCAGGCGTGGCAGAAGATGGGCGAAGCGCTTGGGTTAGGACACGGGACACTCTTGCTGGGGCCATCCTCCCGACTCAGTGCTTGCTGGCCTTGTCACCCTCCTGGCCCCGGCAGCACGCAGCGCACCGTGCTCCCGAGGGCTACCGTTCCTGGTGGGTCAGAGCCTGTGGGACTCGAGGTCCCACAGCACCCAGACGCAGGCACCGCGTGGGGCCCGTGATCCTCCCCTCCGAGCTCTGTGCCAGTCCCCGACCCACCGAGGGGCCAGCCTTACTTTCCGCTACTGTTGCGGCTCTTCCCTCTCTTGCGGGGGGGCGACAGGGCGCTCGGGGCGTGGGTCCGTTTCCGCGGCCTGCCAGGGCCTCTGCGTGCCAAGCTTCTATGGGGTTCCTCGCGCCTGTCCCTTAAAAAGAATCACACGCTAGGCTGTGAACCTGGGGGTAGACGGGGCGCGGAGAAAGGTACACGATGCACACACATCACGCGGGTCCACGCACACCTCTGATGGCCTGCCACAGCCAACCTACTGCGCGCCAGCACCTGCCACTGCCTGACGGCCCGGCGGGGCAGGGGCCCCACGGGGCGGGCTGAAGGCAAACTCACTCGGAGTCCCGGCGCCTCTGCAGTTTCACCAGCTCCCGCTGCTTCTCTTTGTACTGCCTCTGCACCTCTGCCAGCCGCATCCGGAAGTCCAGCTCCAGGGCGTCCATGTCCTCCAAGGAGGACTTCATCGCGTACATCTGGAGGGGGTGCGGGAGAGGAGGAGGGAGATGAGGATGCCGTGGCTCACTGACTCCCACCACCTGCCAGGGCCCTCTCCCAGGTGGGGATGGTGAGAATGCACAGCAACAGCCAGGGCTCTGGGGTCACAAAGGCCCCAGCTACGGTCCCATCACTGCCACCTCCCTAGCTGTGGTCTCAGCCTCAACTGTGCGCTAGGGAGCATACTACCAACTCTCAGGGCTGTGTCAACATGGAGTTAGATGTGTGTCTGCAGCACATGCTCACGTGTAACAGCCGCCCAGCGAGGGTATTTGTGTTGTCATTGAAAACTGGGGGCTTGTGGAGGGGAGCTGCTTGCTGGGGCCCCCAGGCAGCCAAGGGCAGAGCCAGGCCAGCCCCTAGACCACTCTCTTGCCCACCCATCATGTTGCCGCCGTGGGGTGCACCTGACAGTTATCACATGGTCAAACTGAAGCCCCGAGAAGGCAAACGACTTGCCCAGGACCACACAGCCAGTGGGCGGAGGAAGCGGGATGCAACTTGGCCTGATGCCAAAGCCAGCCATACACCAGCACATGGCATCAGTGGGAGAGACTCCGCCTCCGCCTCCCCCACAAAGGCCACTGGAAGGAAGAGAACCCCAGACCAGCTCACCCGCTCCTCCTTCTTCTGCATCCAGCTATACTTCTTGTTGGGGTTCAGCTCCCGGGGAAGCCGCAGATTCTTGAGCGGGTCCACGAAGGGGCCATCCAGCACCTCCTTCAGCATGTGGCTGCCGGCCACCAGCAGGCTCTCCAGCGAGGGCCGCACGGCCAGGCCCCGCTCCACACCTGCAGACAAGAGGCGGGTGATGGGCCTGCCCCGAGGGCGGGGCTGTGTGTGCCCCACCAGTGCTCCTGGGGCAAGGGGGTACAGAGGCCCAAAGCAAGCACAGCCCCCGCCCCCCAAGTGCCGACTGGGCTGAGGCCTTTGCAAGACACAGGAGACTATGGGACGAGAAAAGAGCAGGTGAGAACACAGAACAAGCAGCATGGTCCCATTCCCAAAGCTAGCTGGTGCAGACCAGGGGAGTCGCCAAAGGCCACAGTTTCTTTCTAGGACAGGCTCTTTCTGTTTGTCTGTACTTAGAATTTCTATGGTGAATATGCATGGCTCTCGTGATCCGAAAAACAAAGAGCCCAGGATAAAAACCACAAACCAAGCAGACAGGTGTGAAGAAATAAGAGCCTTCCTGCTCCCCAATACACGGGTCCCTCCCTGGGGAGGCCACTGTCATGCAGTTTCTGGTAGATGGTTCCAGAAACGTTTATGCCTCGTAAAATACAACATACCTGGACAGCCTTTATAACTATGAAAATGGTATCAGCATATATCATATCACCCTTTGCTCTTTTCCGCTTAACATCTTTTCATGTGAGCACATAACAAACAGATCTACCTCATTATTAGCCCGAACCTGATAAAAATCGTCATGTCTGAAGGTCAAAAACACTACAGTATCAGTAATTTTATATTTTTATATATAAACCTAACAAGAAGGCTGGAATTCTCTTGCATTGATAAGTTTTAATTAATCTAAATAACCCCCCATTGGTGGCATATAGGTTGTTTCTGATGTCTTTGGTAATAGCCTGGCAAGCACACGGCTGAGACACGTGTGTTAGGAACATTCTGACCAGCGTGATTAATGTGACCAAGGTGTGTGCTGTTCTCTCTGACAGAGATTCCAGCTGCCCTCCAGAAAGTCTGCTCCAACCACACTAAAAGAGACCTTGCTTTTGTCTCTACCAAATTAAAATAAGTTTTAATTTTTTAATTGACATTTTTTCTTTGTGATCTAAAATAAAATTTTATGGAATATTCCATGCGTGCTTGAGGAAAAAAAGCACATTCTCTCATCAGTGAACAAATTTCCAGAAGATCAACATCTGTAATTGTGCTGTCGAGGGCTCCTCTGCCTTGGCCGCGTCCACACTGCGGTCAGCCTGTGCTGTGCCGGCGTCCTCTGCAGTACTCGGGACGTCGGCGGTGTTCCTGCCTTGCCCACTAGATGTCAGCAGCGCTCTCCTCAAGCTCTGACAACCAAAAATGTTATTGCCAATCCCTGCTGGGGGCAAAATGGCCCCTCGTTGAGAATCACTGGTTTTGCTCTTCTATATCCTTAGGGAAACTGAGGCCACAAGGCAGCAAAGCCACCAGCTCCCAGGGGCTGGTATTAGACTGAAGCCGTCTGGCCCACCCCAAGGTGCCGCCTCTACGCCACCCTACCCTTCCAATACCCTCCAAGACATGAGAGTCTTAGGGGTTGCGTAAGGCACGGAACCAAGGTACAACACTGTCACCTCCACCCTCTGACAAATCAGTCTTCCTGAGGCCTCAACTGACAGAAGATGTCTGAGTGACCTCTAAGCCAGCGGTTATAGGTCCAGTTGTGTCCCCACCAATTCAGTATGCTGGGCCCTAATCCACTATGACCAGTGTCCTCATAGGAAGGGAAATGTGGAGACAAAGACACTTGCAAAAGGACACAGACAACGGCCATCCACATGCCCAGGACAGGCCTGGCACAGATTCCCTAACATCCTCGGCAGACACCAGCCCTGCCGACACCCTCATCTCGGAACTTCTGGCCTGCAGAGCTGTGAAACCACCCGGCCTCTGGTAAGTAGTTCCACAGCCTCAGCAAACCAGCACACCAGCCTTCACCAGGCTTTGCCAGCAGAGGTGACCCGGAGACCCCCAGTGACACTGAGTCAGAAGCACTGGAACCCCTGCCGGGCCAGGCCCCAGCGCAGAGGGAGGGAGAAGTGGGTGGTGGCCCCCATGCCAGGTGATCCAGGGCTGTGGCCCAGCAGGGGCCGGCTTGACCACAGCCCCTCCCAGCTGCCCTCTGCCCTCTCCAGTCCCCGCCGAAAACCCACTGCCAGGTGGGAGCTGTGATCTAGGGGATTTTCATTTTCTTCTGGAAAAATTTTTTTTCTATTGAACTATTTTAATGAGAGAAAAACAGCGATGTACTGTAGGACAACAACAAAACAGAGGCCCAATGGGGAAGGGGGCGTCTCTCACATGGGCCAATAGGAGCACAGCTTGCCCAAGCTTCCTTGGGGGGCCATTTGACCATGACAATCAAAAAGCCTTGAAAACATGGCCTTGTTTTGACCCAACAATTCTACCTCTGGGACTATAATCCGAGGGAAATCAGAGGTATGGAAAAAGATTTTTCATCAAGGACAACCATCATGTTGTTTGCAACAGCAAAAAGAAAACAAAATTTTTTTTAAGGCAAATAAAAATGCCTGACAATCTAGGTCCTCGAGGGGCGAGGCCACCCCTGGGCAGAAAACTGGGTAGTTCCCACAAAAATGTTTTTTAAAAGCCACAGCTTTGAAAAATGACTAATAAAGAACATATTAAGTGAAAAGGCTATGTTATAGAACACTATTTATGAGATGACTTTAATTCTAGAAGTAAATGTGCGCCTATGTGCATGTGCGAGTACGTGTGTGTGCGCGAGTGTGTGTGGGTGTGTGTGCGAGTGTGTGTGTGTGTGTGTGTGTGTGTAGAGAACACTCTAGAGGAAATACACCAAAACATGGTGAGGATATTAATACCTTTTCAATAGCTGTTCCCTGGGCCCCTCCTCTGGTTCCAGGCCAGGTGTGGGGCGGTGGGACCATGGCTGCCTGCCTTGGTTTTCTACACTGAACATCAGTCGCTTTGTGCCCAGCCCAGAATTCAATGCCCCTTCTGCTGAAGACACCATGTTCTCTTTGGGCCCCCCCCAATTACACCTCAGAGATGACACACCCCTGATCAAAAGGCCAGCCATGACCAGCCTGGTCCATCTCCCTAGCTACAGGGTTTGCTGCTGCAAAAAGCATGAACCTCAGTCAGCCAAAGACAGTGAATCTAGGCATTTGTGCCAAAGCCACCAGGAGAGAGGTGGCTCTTTCATGAGGCTACTGAGCTGAGAAGGCCCATGGGCCTTGGAGGACCTGTTGGGGCCCCCCAACCCCCTGCGCCATGAGAACAGTGAGCGTGCCTCGAATGAGGCCAACAGAGAGAAAAGTAGGGGGTGGGTGTGTAGGAAAAGAGAAGCTCCTGATGGCTTCATTTGCACACCTAGATCCAGCCATACCTGAAGTTACCTGATTACTGCTAGACTTTAGTTCCAAGAGCAATAAATTTCCTCCCACCTTGTTCTAAACCAGTTTAAATTGGAGTTTCTGTCCCTTGCAACCCAAAGAATCCTGCTAATATAAAACACACCACTGATAGAATGAGGAGAAATTTCACCACCAGGAAACCCAGGCTGCCTGCACAACAACGTGCGTGTACTTAACACTACTCAACTAGACCCTTAAAAACAGTCACGATGGTACACTGTTACGTTTACCTTACCATAATTTTTTTAAAGAATGAATATGAATAAACCATATTCTGGGGGTTTTCTTAAAAATCTTATAAATTTTTTTTAAAAACCCACAGAACTAGACCCCAGGAGCGCTCACCTCCCGCATCCTGGCCCCGCCGCTCCAGCTCCAGCTCCGCGATCTCACTCAGCAGGGTGATGCCATGCAGGAAGCTCTTCTCCAGCACAAGGCCCTGAGCCGCTTCCAGCTTCTCCGAGGCCTGGGTCCCAGCGTCCAGGGAGGGCAGAGGCCTGGCCTGGGGCAGCTCCGCCGCCGCCGCCAGGGCGTTCATGCCGGCCAGCGGGTCCTCCAGGCAGGGCAGGAACGGGTCAGAGCTTGCCTCTTCCAGGTGGCAGGCACTGCTGGACACTGGTGTGGCCTCCTGGGGCTCCAAGCTCGGGCACTGTCCCTCCCTGGTGGGCATGTCACAGTCTGACAAGTCCAGGCTGGCCTGGGGCTCGCTCGGGGCCACCTGCACCAGGCCTTCCTCAGGCACTGCCTCGGCCACGGGCACCTCCACCGGCACCTCCACGGGCTCCTCCTTGGCCTCCACCAGAGTCTGGGGCGTCAGCCGCTCCCCCAAGTCTAAGGCAGCTGCACAGGATTCTGTCAGGCTCGGGGAGTCCAACCGAGCTTCAGCCCCCTCCACAAATTCTGGGCACTCGGAAGGTTCAGTGCACCCCTGCCCGGCGGCACTCAGCGCCTGGGCCTCCAGCAGACCTCCTCCGCAGCCACCTGCGGGGCTTGAGGCCACCATGGCTTCCTCAGCGGGCAGGGCCAGAGGTGACTCCAGGGGCGGCAGCTCTGCAGGGCCTTCATCCATGTCCTCCACCTCCGCCTTCACCTCCCGCTCGGCCAGTGGCTCTTCCTCCGGGCCCTCCCGCAGCGGCTCTGGGATCTTGGAGGGTGACAAACGGATGGGCTTGTCTTCCGGCGAAAGTGCCAGGCGCTCAGGACCATCAGCTGGGAGCGGCACATCAGGGGCCAGGCCGTCGGCATCGGCAGCCGCCGTGGGCTGCAGCAAGAATGGGTAGGGCCTCCCGTAGTGCGGCGGCAGGGCTTGGAACGGGTACCTGGGTGGGATATCTGCAAAGGACACTGAAGTCAGCATGGAGGTCCCAGAGGGCTGATGTCCCATCCCCACCAAACCCCTGCCCACCACCCAGAACAGAGACCCAGGACACAGCCAGCCTCTGCCTGAGCAGCAGCAGGGCTGAGCTCTTCCAGATGAGATCTGGGAGATCTCAGGGCCCCTCTGCACGTCGGGGCCACAGAGAGACAGAGGTCACCATCTTGTCCCCAGGGTCTTGTGGTCTCAAAGGCAAAAACTGCAGCTGTCTCTCTCACCCCTCCCACTCTGTGCCCGGCACAAGGCTGGCCTAGAAGCAAATGCATAACAAGGTCTGTGAAGACCATAATGGTCCTGGCCCAGCTGGTGTGTCCTCAGGCCTCTACCCACAAGAACTTGGTGCCCCCCAGTAAGGCTGGGGACCGTTGACAATATGACAGTAACAATCCTATGTAACCTCCCTGAGAGCAGGGGCTGTATGTGCAGGGGAGAAAGGCATGGAGCACACCTGTGGCAGGCACCTGGCCCCAAGCATTGCACCAAATCTCCCCAGAGAGGGGCGGCCGCTCATCCGAGCTCACGAAGCACTGGTGCCAGAATCTGAATTTGAACCCAAATCCTAAGTGCAGGCTTACACTCCTAACAGCCCCCAGGGAAGAGAAACACAAGTCCTAGCCCCTAAAGCCACCTGCTGCAGGTCCCCACTGACATGGAACACAGGAAGAGCACGTGTGTGCATGCAGGGTGTGGGGTGGGGAAAACTGTTACCTCCCAGGTTGACAGTTAGTACTGACTATGTGCTAAGTATTTCTCAGGTCTGGCCAGGCTGAATGCTCAGAACGACACCTTCTGGAGTGAGTTCTAATGTGGCACTTCCACTAAGGAGGGCCTGGAAGAGCATGTCTGACCATGTGCTCGGGCCTGACACACGGCAGGAGCCAGGCAGAGACAGATGAACGAATGCAGCCTGAACGGACGGATGGACAGGGCCATGTCCACGGTGCCAGAGCTAACTGGAGTGTGGGCAGACCCAGGGGCTGTAGCTGCCCCCACCTGAGAACAGGGTCTGGAAGGGGCTGGGGGCTTCCTTCTCCAGCTCCAGGTCCTTCTTCTCCACAACGTTCTCGGGGGCCTCTTCCTTGCGGGTGATGCCAGGGGTGGGCGGTGGGGAGGCAGGCGGTGGGCTGGTCGGGTGGGCGCTGGGAGTGGCAGGGTAGGCGTAGGCGGGCGGCTTGGACACGTCCTCCAGCTTCTGGATGACTTTGGCCTTCAGGGCAGCCACAGGGGACGCTCGGGGAGATGGTGGTGGGCTCACGGCCTTGCCGTAGGTGCCTGTGGGGCCGGCAGACAAGCCGGGGGGCTTTCGAGGCAGCAGCCCTGGGCCCGTGGCAGCCAGGCCGGCCTTGCCCGTGGCCTCCAGGCTCCTCTTGCCTGCCTTCTCCTCCATCTCTGCCCGGTGCTCCTGGGCCTTCAGCCGCTCCTGCTGGGGAGGGGGCCGCAGGCAGGGTCAGTGTGGCACGAGCCACCACCTGGCACCTGCCCTGTCCCCAGGGTCCCTCCGCCCGGGGAGAACCTCAGGCAGGATCCAGGGGCCAGGCCGCCAACCCCCTCCCAGGCCTGAGATGGACATTCCGTCCCAGCACACGTGTAACAACCACAGCCTTCTGTGCGGAACCCCAAAAGGCAAGGCTGGGGGTGGGGAGCCTCAGTGGGCCCCTTAGGACCAGGGCTGGGGGTGGGGTGGCCTTCAGCTGGATCCTGGCCCAGCAGGGACCTTCACAGTCAGGGCACGGAGGCTGCGTGCGGGCATGATGGCTCCTGAAGATGAAGGAGCTGCCCCATACCCAGCACCTGCTACCTTCACGGAGCGCTCACCACCTGCTGGACACTGTACTGCATTATCCCTTCCGGGCCTCAGAACACCTCAAGGGGGCAGGAGGAACCTGTTCCTGTCTTTGGTGAGGACATGGGATGGAGCCGGCTCCAACACAGCCAGTGCACAAAACACGCCAGAAAATGCTCCAAGGACTGGCCGCTGGCACAGTCATTAACCACCCAGTGGCAGCGATTACCAGCATCGCAGCTTCTGGAGGACACTTAAAACCCAGAGAGGCAAAGTCACTGTCCCGAGGGCGCACAGAGCTAAGATTCAGACCCAGGGCTCAAGCCCCGAGAGCTGCTGCTGCTGCTGCCACAAGGCTGACTCTCCAGAGCGGCCGCTACATGGGAGAGGATGGGACGGGGCTAAGCAAAGGACAGACGTCCCGGAACGCCTTCAAGGAGGCAGGAGGACTCTAGATTTTCAGAGTCTACCCACACGCAGGGCAGCCCTGTCCCCTATCTCATGGGACCAAGCCACTCAGGCATCAGAGGCAGCTGGCCAGGCCTGCTTGTGCCTGCTGAGGAGCCACCTGCAGGGGAGGGGCCAGGCTGGGTTCTGGCAGCAGTGGGAGCCCACGGGACCCTGTCGGCAACCAATCCAAACTTCCCTGGTCCACAAGGCCGCCTCTCTGCCTGACTGCCCCACCGCTCCCTGCCCACCCAGGCTCTATCCACCCCTGGGCCTTTGCTCACACTGTTCTCTGCCTGGAGAGCCCTTCCATGGCCAATTCCTTCAGGTCTCTGCTCAAACACAGCCTTCTCCAGGAAGCCCTCCCTCACCACCCACCTCTGCCTCCCTCCCTCGTCTGTAACCTTTTGGCGTTTCTGCCCCATCCTCCCGGACTCACCACTAGCTGTGCGTTCCTCTGCAGTTCCAGGGCCTGGGCCGCCTGCTGCTGCAGGTACAGCAACTCCTGCTGCCGCAGGAAGTGTTGCTGGGAGAACAGCTGTAGCTGCTGGGCGTGGTGCAGGGGGCTGCGGCCTGGTGGGTACAGGGCAGGCCATAGGGGTGGCACCGCAGCTCGCTCCATCAGCTCTGCTGCGGAGAACAGGGAGAGGGCTATACCTGCGTCCCGACACCCTGCCACCCACCAGAGATGGGAAGCTGAGGCCCAGGGAGGGGCACCCACACAGCGCTGCTGGGCCCCCAGTTGCTTCCTGGGGGCAGGGGACTGTCCTCCTCTACGTGCCAGGTGTGCACACAGCCCAGGGACACGGCCCCCTCCACACGCCAGGTGGGGGAGATCCCCACGGCCTCACAGCTGGAGCGGGCCAGCATGCGAGCTTGAACTAGAGCCACCGTGGGACTCAAACACCTTCTCCCACCCCTCAGTGGTCTGCAAAGTGGATTCCCAAAGGGACAGGGGCCACGTAGGGGACTCCAAGTCCCCACCCAGGCTGCCCTGCTCTGGTTCTCCTTATGGGGTTTCCAAGCAAGAGTTCATCAAAACAACGACCTCAAGGCTTTAAAACACATGGAAATTGCCGACTTCAGCGTGTTCTCTCTGAACACCTCTGCCTCCCACCCCCCATTCTGCTAAGTTGCCCACCCCCGCAGGAGGCCCTGCCAGCCACTTACCAAAGTGAGGCAGGTGATCACTGGGAATGACCACTAGCTGGCCCGACTGGGGGTCCCTGACAAACTGGTAGGCTGATGGCAGGGAGCCCCCCAAGCCGGGTGGGAACGCAGGGGCCATGCCCTGGTGCAGAGAGGGGGGGCCCAAGCCTAGGAGGAGAAGCCCAGGCCCACGTCAGTGCCGGGAGGGCCCAGGGAAGCCCCAGGCCCAGCACCATCACCCCCCTGCCCAGTCCCTGAATCTCTGGGGCCTCCAGGGGGAACCAAACCAAGGGCAGAGGGGCCCTGCAAACAGGCCCACAGAGCCACCCCCACTGGGCACCTGCCCCACACGGGCATGGCAGAGGGCCCCCCAGAAATAGGTGCTGTTATAATTCCCTCTTTGGACAAATAAAGAGTGGAAGCCCCAGGTCCCCAGACAAGGGTGGGCAGGAGCCAGCTCTGAGGGCTCCCCCCCTCCCCAGCTACCTCCCCACCTCACCCCTTCCTCCAGAGGAAAGAAGTCCCCCTGCCCTGAACTCACCGTAGGGGTGTCCAGCAAGCCACATGGACGTGCTGCCCGAGCGGGGCAGCCAGGGGTGCGTGGCCAGGTGGGCTGCAGGGTCAGCAGACCAGCGACCTGAGCTTGCCAGTGCCGGGCCCCCAGTCACCATGAGGTTGGGGTTCAGGCCGTTAGGAGCACAGCTGGTGGGGTGCAGGCGGGCCAAGTCGGCCAGCTCCTTACTTTCCCTGGAAGGAGGGACAGAGGCCTCGTGACAGCTCTGACAGCCCAGAGGGATGGGATGAGAGGGGGAGAGTAGAGGTTGCCCCAAGTAACAAACAGATGCCAGGCCATGGAGTCAGGATACTCCAAAGAGATGCATGCTCAGCTCAGGACAGAGGGGCCCTCAGGACTCCCACACTCAGCCCAACGCTGAGGACTGAAGTCCTGGACCAGCGGCTCCAGCTCTCAGGACCATGGCGCCACTCCCCCCACTGCCCCCAGGCCACTCCCGGGCCCCCAAGCCACTCCCTGCCCTCACCGGAGCAGCTTCTCCTGGTCCCGGTCCAGCCTCGCCCCCAGCAGCCGTTCCTCCCGGTGCCTGGCCCGGTCGTCCGCACAGTCTTCGTCTGCTCGGCCGTGCCCTGTGGGGCCAGGTGGGCATGAGTCCCCAGCCGGCACCCACCCCACCTGCCCACTGCCTCCACCCTCCCTGGGCCCCACAGAGTCCCCACGGCCACCAGTGCGGTTCCTCTGCCCCAACCTACCAGGAAATGTCCCCTCCATCACCCCCACCCCGTAAAGAGCCTGTCTTCATCACCTGCACGGACAACTGTGCCCACAATTAGAACATCAGCCTTGGGTATTATCAGAAAACATTGTAAAACGTTATCACATAGCAATAAAGCGTGAGGCTGGGTGCACGAGAAGGCAGGTCCTGGGGTGGGGTTGGCAGAGGATGAGCTGAGGTCCAGGTGGAGGGGAGACCACAGCCCAAAAAAGGGGCACCACCTTTAGGAAGCCTGGGCCTGGGTCGCTGCTACCCCCACCGTACAGTTCCATCTGTCCCAACACAGTATATTTTTAAATCAAGACAGGAAAATAAAACCAAAGAGCACTACTTGGTGGGAAGGGGCCATGGTCTAGAATGGGAGATGCCACTCGGCTGGCCCACCCCAACCCCACAACCCAAGTAGGCAGGTCCTGAACTCTAGGCCCAGAGCAGAGGAGGATCGGGGGCCTGTGGAAGGCACTGTCTGTCCCCAACCCTCCTCATCCCTGTATCCACCCTGGCCCCTCTTCCTGGGTGTTCACACTACCAGGCAGAAGTTGGCACTGGGCAGGCAGGCAGGGACACAGGAGCCAGCTGGCCCCTGGCAGAAGAAGCCACAGGGCGTGCGGCTGGGAAACCTACTCATCGGCTCTAGGGGCCGCTCGCAGAGGCTTGGGTCTGACGAATTACTGCTCTTAGGGTCTGCCTGGCTGGGGCTGACACCCTCCGCCACCTGGGGTGCTGTGGGCAGACACCCATGGCCAGCCTTGGCCCCCAGGGGCCCAGCCCAGCACCACAGGCTGTCGCCCTGGGCTCAGCCACAGCACAGAGACATTACTGCTCTGCTGGAGACCCAGGCCCTGCCCGGGCCCCTGAGGGTCTCCAGCAGCCCCAAGCTCACAGCCTCGCAGGCAAAGCCCCCACACGTTATGCTGCGACTGAGCGTCTCCCCATCTTCTCTCCCTTCCTGCACCCCCAAAACCAGGAGTTCCTACAAGCAGCGCCCAGGAGAGGCTCCGGGATGTGGGGCTCCTCCCTTTCCCTCCAGGAATGTGGGGACCCACCAGTCCCAGAAGCAGAGGAGGGGACCCTGGGAGAGGGCACAGCCACCCAGCCCAGGAGCCTGAGGGGCCACACACACCAGGGGATGGCCGGGCAGCCCAGCATGGGTGGCCTGCACGACTGAGGCAGCTGGAGATGGGCCTCGGGCACCTGGCAAGAGCCTCAGAGGTGGGCCCGGGACAACTGGGCGCCTTGGTGTCCTCTGAAGTGGAGGGAGGGGGCCCCGCAGCAAGGGAGACCATCTGTCTCCCCGACTCCGTCTTTACCATCAGAAGCCCCAGCAGCTAAATCCGGGGCGAGGTGCATCCCTGGCCCCCTGAGTCAGGTCCTGTGGGCCACAGTAGGCAGAGATGCCACGCAGACAGCTCAGCTTCACACGGGAGGCAGGTGGAGGAAGGGCAGTGACCTGCGTTTGGGGGAGGCTCAGCCTGGGCGCCCCTGCCCACCCATGTCTACATCGTTCTCGTATCAAAGAGGAGGCTGAGCACACCCCGCACCCCTTGGCAGGACTGGAAGGGGGCCTGTTTGTGGGCCCCAGGAGGAAACTGAGGCCCAGAAGGGCAGCGACAGGTTTCAAGCAAGGCTGGGGCCCAGAGGGCCTAGAGTCCCACCACTGTGGGAGACAGCAGGGCATGGGCTCCAGTGTCTTTCTCCCAAGGGAGATGGTGGCCTGGCTGAATCCCAAAGGTTTGGCTACCTGGGGTGCCACCCTCATGCCCACTGAGCCCTCCTGGAGGCTGGGATGGGCTTTGGGCACAGTATGATGCTCCTGATGCCCCTAGAAGGGACAGGCACTCGGAGCGTAGCCTGGACTCAGCCCCAGCACTCTGTCCTCCCCAGCCCCGGACACCTGTCCACTGCCCTGGCTGTCACCCCCCACAGTCCCAGGGGCTTCCCATGCCAGGCACCACCTACACCAGAAACTTGGCTGCTGGCTGGCCCCATCTTGGGGCACTGCCGTCCCCAGGGCCACCAGGGCCAGAGCCCCAGGCTGCTCCCTGTAAGTCCAGTTGGTCTCCTGAAGAAATGTGACACGCCCTCCATACCTTACCCCTGCGCTCAGCTGAGCACTGGCTCAACTCTCCTCTTGCTGTGGCGCCCTGCCCCCTCTAACCCCTGCTCCCACCTGCTTCTCCACAGAGCCAAGCTGGGGCCTGGCTGGCCTCTTGAGTGTGTCCCCAGCCTCTGTGCATGCCAGTCACACTCATCCCCTCACCACCCGCCATGGGGCCACCCAGAGTGTCCTTGCCCTGGGCTACTCAACCTCCCCCCCCCCCCCGTGAGAAGTCAGCTTCAAATGCCACCTGCTCCAGGAAGCCCTCCCTGACTGCCTCTCCTCCATCACACTCCTGTTTATCTCCCTCACAGCACCGACCACAGTGTGCATCTACTACTCTGCCTACTGGCCCTTCACTGTCTGTCTCCTCCATCACAAGGTGCACTGCCCTGGCTCGAACAGCCCCACCTTGACTGTCCACCTGCCCCCTGCATGATGCCTGGCAGAGAGGAGGCACTCAATACACCCACAGTGAATGGATGAATCAATGGACTCTAGTGGACTGTAGAGGAAGAGTGCGCTGCACAGAGGGAACCGCACGTGTAAAGGCCCTGAGGCAGGGATGTCCTGAGGAGTACCAAGGAGACCACAGTGGCTACAGAGTACAGGCCAGAGAGGGCTCTTGGAGATGGGGTGGCACCGTAGGTGTTCAGGGGGCAGTGCAGGCCTCCAAAGAGAAGGTGGTTTCAATTTTGTTCAAGCGGAGAGGAGGAAGCCAGGGGAACTCTGGGCAGGGTCACAACATGATCTGTAGAAGCTCTGAAAACCCCCCTCTGGCTACCCATGGACAAGCGAACAAGAAGGGCTCACCCACCCTTCTCTGTTGGGCTCCAGTGCAGTGCCCACCCCAGGGAGCACCCAGCCTGGAAAGGGACTAGCTCCTCTGAGGTGTGCGGGGCAGAGGGCCAGCCCACTCTGGGGTCCTGGCGACACAGGACCCCAGCCCAGCCCAAGCGTGAGTGATGGACGCAGAGGCCAGCACTTAAAAGCTGCCCCTGTGCCAACAGGGCTCCAGGTACTCTGCACACAGGAACTCACATCAACCCGGAGGCAGGTCCCCAGAGGAGGAAACTGAGGCAGAGGTCACAAGGCTAACAAGGAGGCATCCCTGCTGTAATTGGGGTGGGTCTTCCTGACCGAGGCACATGGCCCCACGCAGAGAGCCAGCGAGAGGTGGCACCATTAGCATGGGCCCGCATAGCAGAATCCCTGCCGTCCCTCTCTGCAGGCCTGCCCAGCAGCCCAGCCCCGCCCCAGGGCCCACAGGGCAGGGATGTCCCTACGCAAAATCTACCCCTCACCTTGGTCCCTGGCAGCAGCTGCCCCTTCACACATCACCACATACATCATGGCCGCTATATGCCCGAGGCTCGGGCCGAGGCCCCGTTCCCATGGCAACCCCCTCCTGGACTCCATCTGCGCAGCCCTCCAGATACGGCCACGCTGTCTCAGGCCAGCTCATCATCTACTCAGCTACACAGCTTACTCCTGCCTCTGAGCCATGGCAGGGGTGGGGACACCCTCTCAGCCCTCCTGCTACCACTGGTCCCAGCCTGCCTCTGCCACACAGGAGGTGGGACAGACAGGCCTCAGCTCAGGGTTCCAGCTCAGCCCCGCCTCGCCTCTGCAGGCCTCAGTCTCCCCATCTGTGAATGGGGAGAGTATCAGCCCCCCTCTGCAGGGATCTACACAATGATAGCTGGTCCTTCCGGGGCAGCTGGCACTCGGGAGCTACTGGCTAAATGGCAACGATTGCTCTTATTTGCTGTGCCGCTTGGGCGTGGGGGCAGCGATTACGTGGGGCTCACAGATGCAGGTGACGCCTGTCTTAGTCCATCTCAGGGTCCAAGATCCCCTGAGACCAGACCCAGGTCCTGTGTGTGTCTCTCGCGAAGCAGGACCTCAGGCTTGCAGGCACCACCTGACGCCTGAACATGAGCAGACAAAAGAAATGCCTATTCGTGAAGCACCTACTATGTGCTGGCCAGCCCAGCTGACATTGAGCAAATGAGTTGAACCCAGGGCCCAGAGGGCTCAAGGCTCTTGTTCAAGGTCACAGAGTGGCCAGGGATAGAGCCAGGACTTGAGCCCATAGACAGAGGCAGAGGGTTCACCCCAAATAGTAGGAGTCTGGGCCGAGACCCCAGAAGACCAGGGTTGACAACCGCACGCTCGGCTGGGGGGACCTGTCCTGGAGCCTCTACTTCCTCCGGCCCTCCAAAGTCGCTCAGCACTGGGGCTGGGCTGCCTGGAGACAAGCCACCACTTCTTACGGGATTTTTGTTGAGCAAAAGAATCCAGATGCCTCCTTTTCAAGCGTTACAACTGACAGAGAAAGGCAGCTTCAGACAAACCCCTGAACACCTCGTCCCAAAGCCACCACATCCTCCCTCCCTCTCCTGTTCTCACACGCGCACACACGCACGCACACGCCTCTCCCCATGGGCACAGATCCCTTAGGCACAGGCAGGCACTCTGGGCTCTAGGGTGGGCCCTGGGAACCACAAGCCCCCAACAAAGGTGCCACCGTGTCACAGGAGCATTCTCCCAGAGAAAGGGCTTTAAGAGATCTGCTTCCCGGGGGTTCCACAGGACAAACCTCTGAGCAGAGGGGCTTGTCCACCACCAAGCCAGCCACCTACAGTCCAAGGGCTATTGCCCACTTTTTTATCCCAGAATAAGGCAGGTTCTCATCCAAGCTGCCCCCTCCAACACCCAGGGGCAGAGGGCAGGGCTTCCCTGGCTGCAATGGGCTCAGTCAGTCAACAAACATGCACTTAGCATTACTCACTTGGAGCCAGCTATACTGGATGAGGAGAATTCTAAGACCAGACAGAGCCCCATCTCCTCATTCAAAATCCAAAGACTCTGAGTCTGCTCCTGGGATGAAATGACACCTGGAGCTCAGCTGGAGACAGTCCACGTCAAAGGCTGCTCTAAGAGGAGGTGATGCTGGGCCCTGAGGATGAGAGGACGTGGCGTGCAGAGCAGGGAGGGCACTGTAGGTGGGAGGTGTGGCACCAGGTACCCCATACCGACTGGGGCAGCAGGTTGGTGTAAAAATGGCATTACTGGGAGATGCAGCTAGAGCGAACCAAGCCCAGGCTCCTACTACTAGGGGCAACACAGGACAACAAGAGGGGCGGTCAGAGATCAGACAGTCCTGTGCAGCCACAGCGTGCATGCAGATCAGCACGGCGGCCTGTGCCTCACTGGGCTTGTCTGGGAGAAGGACAGCTGGACCAAGAGGCAGCTCTAATGGGACCCAGCTGCTCACTATGGACCAAGGACAAAACCCAGGGAGACATGGGGGGCCAGGCCAAGAGTGGTGAATGCTCAGGAGATGTGCCCCTAGGTGCCTATGCAGCCTGTGGGGTGAAGTCTGGGAGATGCAGGGAAGGGGGTTTTGTGGGTGCCAAAGGCAGGGACCCAGACAGAGGGCCGAGTGGGAGCTTGCTATGGTAACTGAGTGTGGGGCTCAAGCCGGGGTGGGGGCTGACTATTGAGAGGTCCCCAGAGGCAAGGAGCAGCTGAACATGGCCTTCCCCAGCTCTCACCACGGTACACTAAACATGACCTCTGTCCTCGGACCACAGGTGGACAGACCAAGTCAGGAGTTCCAACAAACACACCACAAATATCAACTCTCCGAAACCCCAGGAGGAATCCAACAGTGAAATATATAAGGGACACAGGAAATGCAACCAACCAACCAAGTTCTGGAAAAACATTCAACCTCACTAGTAACTAAAAGAAATGCACCCTGCTTCCCTACTGAAATAAGCAACCATTTTTAAAAAAAATATTAAAACAAAATTCTGATAAATCTAAAGTAAAATATGCCATTTCTGGTAGAGGCATTGAAAAATTTTAAAAGACAAAAAAATAAAGTAAAACAGATGCACTGACCGCTAACAAGCACTTAACATTTCTACCTAAGAAAGCACCTAGGTGCTAAATGTCAAGGCGCCCTAAGAACATCTGGACCCCAGTTTCTACCTATCCCTCAAACACTCACTCACTCAGTTATCAAATACCTACTGTGTGTCAGCCCCACGCTGGCGGGGTACTGCGGACACGGAAGTAGATAAGGCAACAGTTACATCCCTCAACGACTTAGAATTGAAAGCTTCACATTAGTCTATTCCCAAGAACCTCTATTCTTAGAAAATGACTCAAAATACCATGAAGGCGCAATGCACAAAAATATTCGATGCAACATTCTGAACACAAAACATCAGAGAGGGGGAAAAACGAAATGCCCACCGAGGGAACAGAGAACTGAACTATGGTGTATGCTCACAACAGAATATTAAAGGCCATAAAAAAATGCTACTTATAAAGAGTCTGCAATACAGCCAGAGGAAACGACCCATACTGTAATACGTAAACAGTGCAAAAGCCCAAGATCGTACGTGCGCTGGGATCAGTGCAGGTAGAAGCAAACTGCACAAGAAAATGAATTCAGGGGAAGATACAAAAGTGTTCAGGGCATTGGGAAAATATAATGGTTCTTTTTCTTCACTTTCCTTTTCTGCATTGTCCACATTTTTCTATGTGCATAATGGAAAAAAGCAGTAAACTTTCAACAGCAGCTGCGGCCCACAAGTGGGACAGAGGAGCAGCAGCAGCAGGAAGGAAGGGAGAGGTGAGGGTGCCAGGGAAGGAGGGCAGGAGACAGGGAAAAAAGGAAAGCGGAGGTGAGGGGCTGGGAAGATGAGGCCAGGGTGAGACCCAGGACCTACCTTTGACATTGCTCAGTGACAGAGAGCGCTCCTGATCCGCCAGCCCAGGCCCCAGCCGGCCACTGCCGCCACTGTCCTTCTGCCGAGCCACAGCCACCGCAATGCCCACTGGTGGGTGTCGAACTTCTGCCTCACCCTGGGCACCGGAGCCCTCGCGCCCAAAAGCCTTGGCGCTCTCGGGCCTCTCAGGGTCCCGCTTCAGCTGCCGGCCCCCACCTGCTGCAGGGCCTCCAGGGTGCGGGAGGCGGGCCTGGGCACGCGGGGCACCCACAGTGGTGGGCGTGGGCTCAGGTTTCATGGTGCCCAGGCCTCCAAATGGACTCTTCTTGCCACAGCCGCCAGGGCGCACAGCCACTGCCTCCCGGGCAAAGCTGCCGCTGTACTTGATGAGGCTCTGCATGGCCGAGGCCTCTCCAGGTCCGTGAGTCACAGGGTGCAAGTCGGCGCCAGGCCTGCCGCAGGACGCCGCATTGCGGGGCAGCGTGCCCCCAGGGTCCAGGTAGGCCTTCTTGGAGGCAGCCGCGGCCTCCTCCTCGGCGCGGCTGGCATGGTGGTGCTGCGCAGCCAGCACAGCCATCTGCGTCGTGGCGAAGTTGCCCAGCTCGAAAGGCTTCCACTTGTGCTCGGGACCGGCGGGCGGGGTCGGCCGTCCAGGCTCCAGGCCGAAGAGCTTGGCAGCCTGCTGGGCCGCGGGGCCACGGGGCGCGCGCTCGCATGGCCGCGGCTCGGCCTCAGGCTTGAGCAGCTCCTTGGCCGGCAGGTAGGCCCGGGCGTCAGGGGAGGCGCGCGCAGCCCGCGATGGCGGGGCGTCGGCGGGTGGTGGCCGCTTGAGCGAACGGATGACAGAGTTCTTCTCCCGCAGGTTCTCGGGCCGGTCGGGCGGCCGCGGGGAGCCCGGTGGCGCCTGCAGGACCCCTGGCCTGCCCGCTTCGCGCTCGCGGGCCCGGGCGTCGCGCGCCTGCGATGCGATCTGAATGGGCCCTGGGCGCTCGTCGAAGGCCTCCACGGAAGGCACGAAGGTGGGCGCCACCACGCGGTGCTCGCGGCCCGGCTCGCGGAAAACGGTGTAGACGCCAGTAGGCGCGGGCGCAGAGGCGGGCGGCACGGGCGGCCCCTTGGGTGGCGGCGGGGGCAGCGGCGAGGCGCAGGGCCGTGGCCCAGGCAGCAGGGCCTCTGTGCGCCGCAGCAGCCGCGTGCTCTCGTCCTGCCGGGCTGCCTCCTTGGCGCCACTGCGGCCCACCTCGGCCACCAGCGCGGACAGCCCCACGTCCCCTGCACCGTTGCACATGCTCAGCACCGACGGCTGCAGCGCGCTCTTGCCCTTAGGTTCCGCTAGGAAGGGGGATAGGCGCTCAGCCAGGCGCGGGAGCCCGCGGTCCTGGCGGCCCTCAGACCGCGCCTCCTGGGTCAGGTCCACCACGCCACGCGGCCCTGCTGCCTCCTCGCGGGCGCGCGGGTCCTTCTTGCCGAACAGCGGAGGTGGCTCTCCGCCACGGCCCGCCCGCTCCTTGGGCAGACCTTCCCGGGATGACGAAGAGCCTTTGGCTGGGGCGCCTGCGGAGTGGCCGCCAGGGGTCCTGGCAGAGGGCGCATGAGAGTGCAGGGCGCTCGCGGCCCCCGGGGTGGGCAGGTAGAAGCCATCTGTGAAAAGAGTGCGACAGTGAGCAAGGGCCACCTCCCACGCTTGCCAGGGCAGAAGGGGCCCCAGAGTCCCCAGGGCAAGAAGGGACATGAACAGCACAGCCGCTAAGAGGGCAGGCTCAGGAAATAGTTGGAATCAAGTTTAAATCTGCCATGGCCACCTACTGACCTTCCTGTGCCTCTGTTTCCTCCTCTGTAAAGGGGGTGAGGCAATGTTTTAAGATCTACCCAGAGGGTCTCACGGGCTCTGTGAGGACAAGAAGGCTCTGGAAGCTATGGCCAGCTCAGGGAGCCCTTGGGTGCCTTGGGGCTGTGGTCTCAAAAAGGAGTCTGGGACAGAGCTGGAAGCTGCCTGGGACAGTGCTGAGGGTCCTAGCAAAGCCCCCCTCCCGGCCCCACAGTCTCACCACTCCTGTCCTCTGACCTTTCTGGGTATCGAAAATGCTGGGCTGGCCCAACTGGCTGAGGAGGGGGCTCCCGCTGCTGGGGGGCTCCAGGTGGTTCAGGTGGAGGTAGGATGGGTACAGCCCGCTGGGCAGGTGGGAGAAGCCTGGAAGAGAAAAGCGGGGCTGGACCACTGCCTGCCTCCCCAAAGGAGCTTCCTTCCAGCATTTTCCTTTTCCTAGAAATAAACTATCTTGGCTGTCAGCCCCTGGTGCAGGAAGCCCCGAGGTTTCACACCAGCTCCCCAGGGCGATGCTTGCTCCTCCCAATCCTGTGACTTTGGGCCTCTCTCCAGGCCCAGGCAGCCCTCCCGTGCTTGGGATCTCAAATTCCCCAGGAAAAGGATCAGATGGATCCAACTAGGAGGGGATGGTGATGGCTTGCCAAGCATTGTCAACTGCTTTGCCACCGTTACACTCATTTAAACCTCAAAAACAACTCATGAGGCAGATACTCTTAATATCCTAATTTTACAGATAAGGAAACCAATGCTCAGAGAAGACCACTTGCCCAAGGTCATACAGCAGAGGTAATCAGACCCTGTAGCCAGGACAGTTCACCTCAACCCAACATGGGCCCTTCCTCTGCTGAGTGAGCCTGGGCTGGTCACCTGCCTTCTCTGAACCTCAGTAGACTCAGCATCTCCAGCTGACAAGAAGGAATTCCTCCTGCCAAGGGTCCTCCCAGCCTCCTGAACGCCCCCCACCAGCAATGCCCAGAATCAGGACCTTGCAGGACAAAGATAGGAAAGGAAGAGAACCAAGTCACACAGGGCGAGCAGGGGCCCAAGAGGTCATTTGACAGGGCCCAGAAGGCCGGGTGGGTTGGCGGGCACGTTGGCGGCCAGGAGGGCGCTGGGGCTCTGGCTGAGGGCCCTGATGCTCTGCCTGAGCCCCAAATCCCACAGGGCCCCCAGTCCATCTGAGTCTCCTGTGGGACCTGGGTACCCTGTGTCACCAGTGGCTCCCTCTGGGGCCAGGGACACAGGACCTGTCCTTGGCTCACTGGGCCAACGTCTTTATTCCCCACCCCCATACCACCTGATGCCATTAACAACAATTATAAGACCAAAGGACTGACTGACACCTGCTGTCGTTATCTCACTTATTCACGGAAACAGTGCTCCAATGGGGTCCCTCTGCTCTCATCTGTCACCTGTAAAATGGGCCTAACAGTCCCCACCTCAGGGCTGCCTTGCAGCACTTGGGACAGAAAGCACCATGTGTTTGCTGTCATTATCATCCACCTGTACTTGCTGGCAGAAGAGAAAGGGGAGTATCAGGGAGGACAGAGGAACAAGCTGGTGGCACAAGAGGCGGCCTCTGTTCTTCCAGCCCTGCAGTGCCCGCCCATGCTGGCTAAGGTGAGAGCCAGGCGGGACCCCACCCGAACAGGGCTGACACCAGTCAGGCCCAGGCAAGATGTCCCCTCTGTGCAGGGCGCACACCCTGGGTCCTAGATTCAGACACCTTCCCCAGGGGACACGGGAGGAGCAGCCTTGGTGGCCCCATCTGTACAAGTGGCACAGGGCTCTAAGGACTGGGAGGGGTCCTGTGGCTGGGGGCACTTCTGACTACACCTATTTCCTCCCAGCCTAAATGCAACTGTCACGGCCCCACCCCGAAGGCTTTGGAGTGACAGCGAGCACTCAGACTCAGGCCCACAGAGGGAAATGGGGAGCCATGAGCAGCAGGGGGTGCTTCCAGGCTGCCATCTTCCAGGATCCAAGGGGCACCCAGCAGGAGGGAGGAGGGACCCAGCACCTAGCATCCGGAACTGTCGGAGCCAGAGCTTTGGGAGGAGCTCAGGGTCCCCAGGCCCACCCTTCAGGAACAGAGTGGGAAGTTAACTTCCAGGGAAGTCCAGAATGTGCCTGTTCCTGTGGGAAGCCAGGCCTGCAGCCCCCACATCGAGGGTCATCACTGACGAGCTGTGACAAAGAGGGCACGTAGCCCTGCAGCCCACGCACGTGCGGTGATGGAGCCTCCTGCATACCCAGGACCTGACAGTGAGCAGAGCAAACCAGGCCCTGCCCTCAGAGCTCGAGAATAATCATGCAGAGAATCTGTTGTCACAAGTGAGTGGTGGACTGGGCTGGGGAGGAGGGGTGTTTGAGCTGGGTCCTCAGGAGGAACCGGAGGCGGCCAGTGGCGTGGGGTGAGGGGCGGCAGACAGAGGGAATGGCTCGTGCAAAGGCCCTGTGACAGCGACAAGAGGAAGCACAGAGCATTTGAGGAAGAGCAGGAAGGCTGGGTGACCAGGGCTGGGCCCCACCAGCCCCAGTGAGGGGCTGGCCACGGAGGTGGAGGAGAGTGGGCAGACTTGAGAAGTGCCGGGGACATCAGTTGCCAGAGTGGCAGGGGCAGTGGCCCAGCAGCCCTCAGCCCCACCCACCTGGCACGCTCCTTACCTTCATGCGCATGGGCAGCCCACAGCTGCACCATGGGCAGGTTGCTGGGGGTGGGGGAGCGGAAGGAGAGGTCAGAGGGCAGGGACACCGGGCTCCCATGGGACGAGGCCGAGGGCCCCATCCCGCTGGCCACAAAGCTGCCCAGGAAGGCCTCGCCTGCAGAGAGAAGGGGGCCGTCAGGCAGCCAGCCAGGCCGCCACCGCCCCACCGCCCCGAGACCCCTGTCTCTCCCCTGACTGTGGAAGGCTGACATAACACTGGCAAGAAGGCCAAGGAGATCCCCCCTGCCCCCCCAGGACAGGCGTGGGTCAACTCAACAGACCCTCGGCTTGAGAAAGCTACACGACCCCAGGAGACGGCCAGAAGCAGCAGGCCCCCACCCCGGCACACCCAGCACCCTCGGAGGAGGGCTTTACCATCCCTGCTGCGCAACCAGCCCAGATCCAAGGGGGCACCACCCTCCCCATTTGCAGATGGACACCTGAGGCTGGTAGGGGGCAGGGACCTCCCAAGGCCACAGAGGAAGGTGGGGGCTCATTGAGGGGAGGGGCTCAGGTTCCTAGCTCTGCAGAGCTCGTGGACCAGGGAACACCATCCTCGAGTAAGAGAATGACTCCCATGGCAGCCCTGTGCCCATTTCACAGATGGGGAAGCCAAGGCTCAGAGGTGGGAAGCGCCTGGTCACACGACCAGTGACTCAGAATACACCCGGGGCAGGGTGTCCCAGAGCCCCCTGGCACACAAGCTACAGTGAGTTAGGGAACCAGTCAGGGAATGAATGGAGGAGCAAGCATGGGAGCTGCTAAGGGTTCAAGAGAGCCCTGCCCAGGGCCACCCCTCTAGACAGCAGGACCCCACACCCAGGGAACTAGGACCCGGGCAGCAACCACACATGCCCTGCCCCACCCCATTCAGCCAGGCCCACAGGAGGCCTCCTGGCTGCATCCCAGAGCTCCAACTCACAAGCCCCAGCACCCAGGCCTCTGGGGTACAGGCCAGAGAGGCTGCAAGCCCTGGGGCCAGAGGCTACCCTGATGGCCTCAGTTAGCTCATTGGGAAAATGGGGTAGCGATGCCCTCCTTTGAGAAGTGCAGTGAAGAGGGAAACACGACAGTAAGAATGAAAATAAACAGCAGCAGCGCCCATTCACAAAAAGCTACCAGGCACTGGACACTCAGCAGGTGACTTCAAATCCTCCCAACCACGCCCTAGGAGGCAGCGGCACAGCCCTGAACACAGAGCTGAGCAGATGGTCACCAAGCATAGCACCCCCTAGGTGCCAACTCTGGCCAGCCCCAGCCCATGGCGTCCCTGTGCAACCTTCTCTGAGTCCCTGTGGTGGGGGGCCCTGTTTACAGGTGACACAGAGAAGGTGGAGACTGTGTGGGGGACACAGTATGTGTGCTCAGCCACCCAGGTGGCCTTACAGGGAGCTCACAGACCCCAGGCCAACCTCTGGTCCCCGGCAGTCCCCTCCTGCAGGGCTGCATACAACAGGTGCTCACTGACCACCTCCTCGGAGCACAGGCTCCCAAAATGTCCAGCCTGGCTCCCTTGGGCTTCAAATGGGGAAATCCAGGCCAAGAGGGCAGGGCCTCCACCTCAGTTCCCTAGAGTAGGGACAGCAATAGGCAGAGCAGTGGTGGATAAATGCCCTCTGGCCACATGCCCCACCCCCACCGCCACCTGTGTCTGCCCCCTCCCCACACACTCCAGCCCCACCCAGCCCAGCCCCCTCACCAGACTCCAGGGCCAAGCCCTCGGGACCCAGGGCCATGGTGGCGGGTCAGTCCATCCATGCGACCCAGGACAGAGCAGCAGGGCCTCTGGGCCCTGCCGAGCCAGGCTTCCTCCTTGGCGTGGCAGACGGGTGGAAGGCTCCGGAAGCCGGCAGCCTGAGGTTTGCGCAAGGGCTTACATCAGCTACCAGCTCTTCCTGCCCAGGCCGCACGGAAGCCCCGTGGCCCGGGCCTACCCTGCCCGGGCTTGTGAAACCCGCCCAGCGGCACCGGGGCCAGCGAGCGTTGGGGCCGGATGCTGGCCAACGGCTCCTGCCCGCCACGGGCCCAGCATGGGTCCCGGAACTCCAGACCCAGGCGCTCAGTGCTGCTCTCAGGGCCCCAATTTGCAACTCTGTCAAATGGGCACACGGTCCCTCCAGCTATGAGGACGCCCCCTCCCGAAATCTCGCTCAGAAGCGAGCGTGAATCAGACAAGCGTGCCCTGCTGCTGTCCTGCTGCCTCCCCTCCCTCTGGGCCCTTCAGGCACCAGCCCTGCCATCTGGACTCCGCCTCGCTCAGCCCCACCTCCAGGCCCCCCTCAGCCCCGGATTAGTCCCCCAATACCCACACAACCTAAGCAGGCCCCACGTGACTCTAAGTCTACCTATGACAACTTAGAAACAGATCTGTCAGCCTGGCCTTATATTTAATGCCTGTCTAGCCCCCACAAAACAGATCCCTCCCTCCCTGAGGGCAGGGACTCTGCCTTGCTGCCTGCCATAGCCCAGTGCCTGGGACCTGGCATGCCAGAGCCACTCCGTTTTTGCATTACCTGACTGCATGAGTGTCACTTGCAATGCTCACAAGGTCAAGATGGACAGATATGCACTGGGATTAGGAAGGAAGATCAGGGCAGCCCCTGACCCACGAGAGGGGCTCTCAAATAAGTCCCCAGGAAGCGCACGCCACCCGGCTGCCTGGCCCCCACCCCACATCACCAGCAGTGACTCCAGAGTGTCCCCCCTGCCTACTGCTCATGCCCATCACCTATCCCCTCAGGGCTCTGGGACAGTGACAGTCAGGCCCCGGCTCACCCGCCTCTCCAAAGACTTTGCTGGAATCCCTCAGGCTAACCTGAGGTGGGGGTTTCTTCCATCCCTCCCACCCTGGGCTGGGCTCAAGGCCTGGCCCCCTAAATCAGGCCTCCCCCTGGTGACTGGAAACCTCCGTGCCACCTGTTCACTCCCACAGTTATCTCACTTGACACCATAGAAGCTAAGATCAATGACTGTCAAAACCTAAAACACGCACGTGTAACCACAGTAACTCATCATTCCTAACAATACCCGCAAACGCTGCCTGGGGCACTGGGCGCGTGCGGACTTCACCACCTCGGGCGCAGTAACCCACCCAATCTGCAAGCCAGCCCTTCTCACAGCAAAGGACAACTGACAACCCAAGGTCACACAGGCACGCAGCCAAGGGCAGAGCCAGGACAGGACAAGGCCGAGTCCAGAGCCCAAGAACTGCCTCTAAATACCTCCTGTGGAATAGTCCCATGAGGGCCACCAGAGTGTACCCAGGAGAACAGTCCCCAGTCCCCAAGGCTCTGCTGTCATCCTCAACCAACAGGAAACAACCTGTGTGTCCATCCCACGGGGAATGGGTAAATGACACGCAGCAATGCCATCCAAACAGTACCCCACAGACGTCCTGCGTCCATTCTGTGCAACACGCTAGCCACTGGCCACAAGTGGCTATTGAACACTAGAAATGTGGCTAGTGAGACTGAGGAGCTGCATTCTTTATTTTATTAAACTGTAATTAATTGATATTTAATTTAGCAACAGTCTGGGCTGAAGTTTCCTTCCCGCTTCAGGGTGTGGTAGGCAGGGATGGCCAGGGCCAGTGTCCCCATGGGGAGGGGCTCCACAGAGGGGTCACCAGAGCAAAGAGATGCCCACATGTTATGTGACTTTGGGCAGTTTTCTTGATGTCCCCAGGCTGTGTGAGATGGACAATGTAGTGACATCTACCCCTGGGGCAGACGTAAAGATGAAATGAGTTCCCATTTGTAAAATGCTTTGAACACCCTCTGGCATGAAGTAGGTTCCATGTGATGCTGGCTATTATTATTATTTTATTCTTATTATTTATAGTTACAAAACCTGGGGTTCAGAGATGCTAAGCAACTCCTCCAAGGTCAGGGTCCACGCGGAACACAAATGTCCTTCCTTACAATAAAAATCTCATTTTGGCCGGACGCGGTGGCTCAGGCCTATAATCCCAGCACTCTGAGAGGCTGAGGCAGGAGGATTGCTTGCGCTCAGGGGTTCAAGACCAGCCTGAGCAAGAGCAAGACCCTGTCTCTACTAAAAATAGAAAAATTAGCCAGGCATGGTGGCACATGCCCATAGTCCTAGCTACTCGGGAGGCTGAGGCAGGAGGATCACTTGAGCCCAGCAGTTTTTTTGCTGTGAGCTATGACGATGCCACTGCCTCTAGCCCAGGGTGACAGACCAAGATTCTGTCTCCAAAAAAAAAAAAAAAAAATCTAATTTGAAACCATAGAGAGCTGACAGTTGCATGTTATGAATGCGCTAAATAAAACTGAATTGTACACTTTTCAAATGGTTACTTGTGTTATGTGAATTTCACCTTAATTTTTTAATAAAAATCACAGTTCTGCTCCCTGCCTCTGAATCTGGTGCTATGTCTCCACCAGCAGGGCCAGGCTGGCCTTGGATTCCTGTCACCACCCAGGCCACCCCAGGGCCCCCTTCCCAGACCCTGGCTCACCCTCCCACAGCCCCAGGAACGAGAGAACCTTGCCACTCCTATTGATAGATTAGAAAACTGAGGCTCAGAGAGGCCGCCAGGCACCAAGTCGGCACTGAGCCTGGCACCCCTGTGCACAGCACACTGCATGGTGGGCTTTGGCTCGGGAGCCCTCCATACCAGTGACACCCCAGTCCCTTCCTGGGTTCTTATTTTGCTTTCTTCACTACCCCAGGCCCCAACTGTGGCCCCTGGAAAAGATGGTACCCCCATGAGTTCCCCAGAAGGGGTCCGACCACACCCGCCCTACAGAGGGGCCACACAGCCGCTCCTTCAGTTAGCAGTAGTTAAGGGTGACAGCTTGTATTTTGGATGACAGTTGAGCAAACTCCTCCAACAGATGAGTCCCCCAGAGCAGACACTTCATCAGTCTCCTTCCAGAACCACCTCGGCCCCATGCTCGGAGTCCTAGCCCCAGGCAGATGTTCTGTTGGGTGCCTGTGTTGACAATTTCTAACCCTAAGCAGGCCAACCCCACCTGACAGAGGGAAACTGAGGCTCAGAAAGGTGGCACAACATGCCCAGTCACACACTACATGATCCAAGAGTTAACCCTTTGCACTTGGATGTCAAGTGTGACTCGACACGGTTAGGAA